GTTTTCTGGTGGTTTATTGGAGATAAGAGTCTCATGGACTTTCCTGCCCAGGCTGGCTTTGAACTGTGATCCTCAGATCTCAGCCTCCTGAGTAGCTAGGGTTAGAGGTGTAGGCCACCAGTGCCCAGGTTGCAGCCTCCTTTTCTTGCGCAGCCTCAGATTCCCTGGAGACTTTGAGTATGTTAAGGGTATAATGTGGTTTCTCTCAGCACTCTCCTAGCCCTAGGCTGTCACCCAATTATGGCCCATGGAGAGGTTAAGTAAGGATGGAAACCCAGGCAGCCAGGGACCTTGTTGTGAACCGCCATCTACAATCCTGGGGGGAGGGCAGAGGTCTGAATCTCCCCCAGCCCAGCCCTTTGTAATGGGTTTCTTCACAATTGTAACTCTTGCTATTAAGGTTGGGTGTTTATACTCACAGGACTGAGGAATAAAATCACTGCTTAATTCAGTGCCAATGAGCTCAGGGTATCATCGGTTTCTGGATCTGGAGTTCTTTCTCCATCCAGATGACTACCCAGTTCCCTCACTCACCCCCTTCAGCTCTGCTCAGATGTCCCCTCTGAGCCCCAGCACTGATGGTCCCCCCTTTCCAGTTTGCCCTCAAGTCCTTCTCCCAAAGTGCCTTGGCTGATGAGTGATGGATGACATGTGGTGGATGAGGAGGTGCATCCTGGGCCTGTCAGCTCCGGAGTCTGGGTCCTCAGTTCCTCCATCCCCTTGCCTTCTCCAGTGACGGGGCCCATGGACCAGCCAGCTGGCCTGCAGGTGGACTATGTCTTCCGTGGTGTGGAGCATGCAGTGCGCATGGTGGTTTCTGGGCAGGTACTGGAGCTGGAGGTGGAGGACCGCATGACGGCTGACCAGTGGCGGGGAGAGTTCGATGCCAGCTGTGAGTATGGCACTGTGGGGTGGGCTTGCCTCTCCCCCCACTGAGATCAGCTGTTCCCTGGAAAATGAGGCCAACCAATGAGACAGCTGATAGTCCCTCCTCTCGCCTCTTCTAGCTCATCAGAACCTTTCCAAGGTGGGGAGGGGTGGAGGCCCTATTTCCTCAGGCCACAAGAACCAAAGGTGGGGGATGAGGAAGACCTTGGATGCCTGGCCCTTAGCCGGGGCAAATGGTCAGATTTCAAGAGAGATTTTTTTTTCTTTTTCTTTTTGTCGGTTGTGGGGCTTGAATTGGGGGCCTGAGCCCAGTCCCTGAGCTCTTCAGCTCAAGGCAAGCGCTCTACTACTTGAGCCAGAGGACCACTTCCAGTTTTCTGGTGGTTAATCGGAAATAAGAGTTTCACAGACTTTCCTGCCCGGGCTGGCTTTGAACCATGATCCTCAGATCTCAGCCTCCTGAGTAGCTACGATGACAGGTGTGAACTGCGTGGGTGCCCGGCTTAGAGAGACTTTTCTTCCCACCTAGTCATTGAAGACCTGACTCACAAGACAGGGAACTTCAAGCAGTTCAGTATCTTCTGTAACATGATGGAGTCGGCTCTCACCCAGGTAGGGAGCTGGGGGGAGGGACAGGGAGGATGCTGGTCCCCAGAGTGCTTGGTGATGCTAGGGGAGGACTCTCTTGACCAGTCTCCTGGGGGAGATGCCTGTTGGGTGTGAGTAGGTATCTTTAGGTCTTCTGTTTCACTGAAGAGACAAGGCTTTCTCATCTTTCTCAAATACAAATGATTTATTAAGAGTTGGATGATGATTACTCTTATATAGAATATTCAGAGCCAGGCTCTGGTGGCTCAGGCCTGTAATCATAGCTCCTCTGGAGGCTGAGAGCTGAAGACCACCTTCAAAGCCAGCCTGGGCAGAAAAGTCCGTGAGACTCTTTATCTCCAATAAACTATCTCCAAAAAGCTGGAAGTGGCACTTTAGCTCAAGTAGTAGAGAGTTAGTCTTAAGCAAAAGGAGCTCAGGGACTGTGCCCAGGACCTGAGTTCAAGCCCCAAGACTGGTACAAAAAAAAGCCAGGTGCCAGTGGCTCATACCTGAAATCCTAGCTACTCAGGAGGCTGAGCTCTAAGGATCCCAGTTCAAAGCCAGCCCAGCAGAGAAGTCCATGAAACTTTTATCTCTAATAAACCACTCAGAAACTGGAAGTGGTGCTGTGACTCAATTGGTAGAACACTCACCCTGAGCTGAAGAACTCAGGGACAGTGCCCAGGCCCACCGTGCAAGCCCCATAACTGACCAAAAAATGGGGGGGGGGGAAGGGCGAGGCTAGGAAGGTGGCTCAGTGGTAGAGTGCTTGCCTTGCAAGCATGAAGCCCTGGGTTTGATTCCTTAGCACCAAATAAGAAAAAGCCGGAAGTGCCGGGCGCTGGTGGCTCACGCCTGTAGTCCTAGCTACTCAGGAGGCTGAGATCTGAGGATTGCGGTTCAAAGCCAGCCCGGGCAGGAGAGACTGTGAGACTCCTATCTCCAATAAACCACCAGAAAACCGGAAGTGGCGCTGTAGCTCAAGTGGTAAGAGTGCTCCTCTTGAGCTGAAGAGCTGAGGGACAGCGCCCAGGCCCAGAGTTCATGCCCCACGACCGACAAAAAAAAAGAAAAAGCCGGAAGTGGCGTTGCAGTTCAAGTGGTAGAGCACTAACCTTGAGCTGAACGGCTGAGGGATGGTGCCCAGGCCCAGAGTTCAGGCCTCATGACCGACTGGCAAAAAGAGAGAGAGAGAGCAAATGTAAATCTAAACTTTTTTTTTTTTTTGAGTCCAGTTGTGGGGCCTGAACTCTAGGCCTGGACGCTGTCCCTCAGCTCTTCAGCTCAAGGCTAGCACTCTACCACTTGAGCCACAGCGCCACTTCGGCTTTTTTTTCTTTTTGCTTATGTGGTGCTGGGGAATTGAACCCAGGGCCTCAGGCATGCAAGGCAAGAGCTCTACCACTGAGCCACCTTCCCAGCCCCTGAGTAGTTTTTATTGAAGATAAGAATCTCATGGCCTTTTCTGCCTGGGCTGGCTTCAAACCCTGATCCTCAGATCTCAGCCTCCTAAGTAGCTAGATTACAGGCATGGGGCACTTACTTGTGCCTGGCTAACATTTTAATGCATATTTTCCAAAACCAAAACTTGGAGATGTATCATCATTTCACATTTGAGTTGTTGTGGGTCGTGGGACTTGACCTCAGGGCCTGGGCTCTGTCCCTGAGCTCTTTTTTGCTCAAGGCTAGTGCTCTACCACTTTGAGCTACAACTCCACGTGTAGTTTTCTGGTGGTTTAATTGTAGATAAGAGTCTCATAGACTTTCCTGCTGGCTTTGAACCTCAGTACTCAAATCTCAGTCTTCCAGGTAGCTAGGATGATAGACGTGAGCTGCCAGTCTCTGGCTCGTTTTACATTTTTGTCGGCTGCTCAGGATGGAATCTGATGCCTTAGCCCTTCCAAGTCTTTTTAATTTCTGGTTTAGCTGAATGCCAGTGGCTTACCCCTATAATCCTAACTTCTCATGAGGCTGAGATCGGAGGATCACAGTGTAAGGCCAGCCTGGACAGAAAAGCTGTTGAGACTCTTTCTTCAAAATCCTCATCAAAATGCCAGGCTGAAAGTGTGCTCAAATGATAGAATACCAGTTGACTAAGTATAGACCTCAGTACTAAAGAAGAATACAAAAGTCTTCGCTTTAAAATAGAATGCCATTGGATTTGCATGTAATTTTTTTTTTTTTGGTTGGTCATGGGGCTTGAACTCTGGGCCTGAGCGCTATCCCTCAGCTCTTCAGCTGAAGGCGAGTGCTCTACACTTGAGCCACAGGGCCAATTCCAGTTTTCCAGTGGCTCATTGGAGATCAAGAGTCTCATGGCCTTTCCTGCCCAAGCTAGCTTTGAACTGTGATCCTCAGATCTCAGCTTCCTGAGTAGCTAGGATAACAGGTGTTAGCCCCTGGCACCCAGCTTGCATGTACTTTTCTTGTGTTCGGTCTGTTGTGATATGCTTTGGTTGAAAAATATATAGGAAAATACTGCTTTACACCCATGTGAGGGGAGTAAAAGGAGAACTGTAATATTGAACATTGTAGTTAACTGCACCCCCTTGGGTGCAGCTGGCTTGGTCCCACCAGGGGGCAGCATTGTCACCTGCAGGTTTGCCATCACCTTTCCCCCATCCCCACCTCCAATGAAAAGGGCACATAACTGTGTCTGTGTTAGAATCATTTTGGGCCTTATGGACTCCGGAGAGGGTCTTGGGGACCCTCCACCCCAGAGACTAGACGGGGGCAGTTAATTCCTCCCTATCCTCAACAGAGCAGCGAGTCAGTCACCCTGGACCTGCTGACCTACACAGACCTGGAGACCCTTCGGAGTCGCAAGCTGGGGGGCCGCCCCAGCACGCTGGCCCCCAGATCAGCCCAGCTCAACTCCAAGCGCTACCTCATCCTCATCTACTCCGTGGAGTTTGACAGGTGGGCAGGGGCCTGGGTGGAGCCTTGGTGACCCAGATGACCAGATTATAAGCCCAGCCATGCCTTTGGAGTCCTTGCTGTGGGAGTACAAATAGTAAAATAAGCATTACCAGTTAATTTAAACAAATATACTTGACCACATCTAGATGAGCTGGCAGTTCTTCAACATTTCCCTTAGGGATTCAGACTCTTTTCTTTTTGCTTTTAATTTCCTATATCACTCCTAACATGTTGATTTTGTGAGCCTGTATTTGTCTTCTTCATGGTCATAAAATAGCTATTGGACATCCAGCTATTGCACCTGTATCAACGCAGCCAGAAGAGGCTCAAGGCTGTGTTTGCTAATTGAATTAATCTGATTTTTTTTTTTTTTTTGGTCAGTCTTGGGACTTGAATTCAGGGCCTGGGCATTTTCCCTGAGCTCTTTTGCTTAAGCCTAGTGCTCTACCACTTGAGCCATAGCACCACTTCCAATTTTTCTGGTGGTTCATTGGAGCTAATAGTCTCACAGCACTTGCCTACCAGAGCTGGCTTTGAACAGAGATCCTGAGATCTCAGCCTTCCAAGTAGCTAGGATGAAAGGCATGAGCCACCAGTACCTGGCTGAATCTGCTGATTTTTATCAGGGAAACCAAAAAAGTATGGGGGCTGGGAAGGTGGCTCTGTGGTATAGTGCTTGCCATGCATGCATGAGGCCCTGGGTTGAATTCCTCAGCAACACATAAGCAGAAAAAGCCAAAAGTGGTGCTGTGGCTCAAGTAGTAGAGCGGTATCCTTAAGCTGAAGAGCTGAGGGACAGTGCCCACGCCCAGAGTTCAGGCCCACGACCGACAAAAAAAAAAAAAAAAATGTTCCCAGAGTATTTGGCTAGAAGAGTTCAAGTGAAAAGGATGCTGGGAAAAGGATCTGGCAGGCAGCAGGGAGTGGCTGGAGTATCTGCTAATAAGTAGCTCCTGGGTTATCAGGTGGGAAGTTCCCTGGCCTGAGTGAATTGTAGGTGGTTGAGTATGCCTGAAAAGAACTAAGAGGGGGCTGGGAAGGTAGCTCAGTGGTAGAGCGCTTGCCTTGCATGCCTGAGGCCCTGGGTTCGATTCCTCAGCACCACATGAGCAAAAAGAAAAAAGTGGAAGTAGTGCTGTGGCTCTGGTGGTAGAGCGCTAGCCTTGAGCTGAAGAGCTGAGGGACAATGCCCAGGCCCAGAGTTCAGGCCCCATGACCGGACCCAAAAAAAAAAAAAAAAACCCAGAACTTTGGTGGGGTATTTAAATATCACGCCCCTCCTCCCAGCCAAGGGGTGTCAGGGCAGGCCAAGCCCATTCTCTCACAGAGCTCTGGTGTTTTCTGCAGGGGACACAATGCCAGTCTACTCCAGCAGGTGACAAGGACATTGCTTGCTACTACACCTGGGATACCTGTCCCAGTGCCCTCAGGCTGCATACATTAGAGACTTTTGGGGTGAAGCACAGATAGAGTAAGGGGCCGGCAAGGATGTCCACCAGGACAGCATTAGAATGGGAATTGGGGCCTCTGTTGTCCTGCTCACTGGTATTCTCTGCACCCTGCTATTTTCCTGGGGTAGATTCTTGCTCTCTGAGATGCCACGATTTTAATCCCCCTCCTCAGGATTCACTACCCGCTGCCCCTCCCGTACCAGGGCAAGCCGGACCCTGTGGTCCTACAGGGCATCATCCGCTCACTGAAGGAGGAGCTGAGCCGCCTTCGAGGGCTGGATGGCCAGAACCCCCGGGACACAAGGGAGACGAGGGAGACGGAGATCTGGCACCTGCGGGAGCAGTGAGTCTGGGAGGGGCATGTCCCATCATGCATTGCCGGGACTCCATGTGCACCTACTCTGGCTGTCCCTCCTTAGCTCTCTGGTTCTGGGCCTGCCTTTTTTGTGTGTGAATGTGCTAGACTTGGGGCTTGAACTCAGGGCCTGGGTATTGTCCCTTAGGTATTGCACACAAGGCTGATGCTCTACATATAGAGCATCTATATATAGAGCTCCACTTCTGGCTTTTTGGTGGTTAATTAGAGATGAGTTTCTTGGACTTTCTTGCTCTGGCTGGCTTTGAACCATAGTCCTCAGATCGCAGCCTCCTGAGTAGCTAACTGGGATTGTAGGTGTGAGTCACTGCTGCCCAGCTAGGTTGTAATAATTTTTTAATAGAACAGCTTGAGAACAGATGGCATCTTTATAAATAGTGAGTATTCCAGACTATAAAGAGAGTAGCTCTGTTTATTTGGGTTTTATTTAATGACTCAGTAATATTCTGTCACACTTTTTGTAGATTTTACCCATCTTGTTGGACTTTTGGTTTTTTTTTTGTCAGTCGTGGGGCTTGAACTCTGGGCTTGGGCACTGTCCCTGTGCTCTTCAGCTCAAGGTGAGCGCTCTACTGCTTCAGTCACAGTGCCACTTCCGGTTTTTGAGTGGTTTATTGGAGATAAGAGTCTCACGGACTTTCCTGCCCAGGCTGGCTTTGAACTGTAATCCTCAGATCTCAGCCTCCTCAGTAGCTAGGATTACAGGGGTGAGCCACCAGTGCCCGGCTTGGTGGACTTTTGTGTGTTCTTTAAATATACATTATATTGATATTTACATGATTGATTTTATATTATTACATATTCATCTAATTAGATCCTTTTAAATTTTTTTAGTGTTTGTAATCATTGTTTGACATCACTGATTAATCCTCCATTCTTGTCTTTTTTTTTTTTTGGGTGTGGTCGCGGGGCCTGAACTCTGGGTCTGGGCGCTGTCTCTCAGCTCATCAGCTCAAGGCTAGCGCTCTACCACTTGAGCCACAGTGCCACTTCTGGCTTTTTTCTTTTTTTGCTTATGTGGTGCTGAGGAATCGAACCCAGGGCCTCAGGCATGCAAGGCAAGCGCTCTACCACTGAGCCACCTTCCCAGCCCCATGTCTTTTTTTTTTTTTTTTAGGTGAAAGTCTTAGAGCTTAAACTCAGAGCCAGGGCATTGTCCTTCAGCTTTTGTGCTCAAGGCTAGCACTCTACTACTGGAGCCACAGTTCTACTTCCAGTGTTTTGGGGGATAGTTTATTGGAGATAAGTCTCACAGACTTTCCTGTCTAGGCTGGCTTTGAACCTTGATACTCATATCTCAGCCTCCTGAGTAGATAGGATGACAGGCCTGAGCCACCAGTGCCTGGCTTCTTTGGGTTCTGATGATGGTTTTTTTAAACTTTTTTTGCTATCATAAATAGAGCTGGCGCAGCTGGGCGTGTTGGCGCACACTGCAATCCCAGTACTCATAGGCTGGAGGCAAGAGGATCTACATTGAGACCCTGGCTCAAAAAACAAAACAGCTAATTAAGCAGCTAATTAAGTGTTTGGAACATGATAGTGAATTGGTCAGACTTGAATTTAATAGAGTCCTCTAGTAGAGTGGAAGACAGGACCTGGCTGGGGGCGGGGGAGGATGGACCCCAGCGCTGCTGCCTAGGTTGATGAGATCTGTTCAATCCAGGCTGGGCACAGCTGTGTTTCTCCCCTCCCCTCTGCAAAGGGGTAGGGTTTGTGTGGGAGGCGGGGTCTCCTCCACCTGGTGGGTGGGGTGGGGGTGGGATGTGTCGCGCCCCTCCTCCCACAGAAGGGATGGTAAGACCTTGATCGCCCTCTACCAGGTGTGGGGAGACCTTGTTCCCCTTTGGTGGGGAGGAGACAGGAGCCTTGCCCACTCCTGGCAGGGAATGGGGATGCGGCACCGTTCCAGCCCTCCCTCCTCCCTCCTCCTAGGGTGTCACGCCTGGCCGCAGAGAAGCGAGAGCTGGAGGCCCAGCTGGGCCGCTCCCGGGAGGAGGCGATGGCTGCCCGGGCTGCGCGCCAAGAGGCCGAGGCGCTACGCGGGCTGGTGCGGGGCCTGGAGCTGGAGCTACGGCAGGAGCGGGGCTTCGTGCACCAGACCTCGACCCGCCGCAGCCAGGACTGCCACCGCCTGGCCAAGGAGGTGAGGGGCGGGCAGACGGCAGACGGGCGGGGCCCTAGCTTGGATTCTCATCCCTGGGCTCCACCTTGCCGAGGGGCGTGGACTTAGGCCTGGACAGGAGCCCCTGATTTCCTCCTCCATCCCCACAGCTCGAGGAGGTGAAGGCGTCGGAGCGGAGCCTGAGAGCCCGGCTGAAGACGCTCCACGCTGAGCTGGCCTCGTACAAGAGGGGGTAAGGGTGGGCTCAGGGTGGGCGGAGACAGGGAGATGAGATGGGCGGGGACTGGAGGAGGGCGGGCTGTGGTAGGCTCCGTGGGTGGGCGGACTTGGCGTGGGCGGAGACAGGGAGATGAGATGGGCGGGGACCAGAGGGGGCTGTGGTAGGCTTCTTGGATGGGCCGGCTCAGGGTGGGCGGGGCCTGATGAACTGCTGAGGCACAGGAATTGGACTACTAATTGTGGGCGGGGTCTGAGGTTTTCTTGAGTCTCCGGGAGCCAGGTGATGTTCCCTGCACCGTTGGGGTCACCGGAACCGGAGCGGGAATGATTGGGGTTCAAGGACAAAAAGGCGTCCCTGAGGCGTGGGCTCGGGCGGGCGGGAAAGTGACCACGGTCCCTTGCTCTCAGGAGACGCACTCCGCCGGTGGTGCCGCCCGCGTCCCGCGAAGAGCGGGCCTCGCTGTCCCGGGAGCGCTCCACGTCTCGGGGTCGCGGGGTCACCCGTTCCTCATCCCGAGAGAGCAGCCGCGGGGCCCGGGGCCGAGGCCGGCCCGCCCGCTCCTCGCCCTCTCCCACAGGTCGGTGCCCGTGCGGTCCTGCCCGGCCCGGGGGGCCCTGCGCGTGACCCCCGCCTCCGCACAGCCCGTTCTGCCCTAGGTAGTCGCGCGCCACGCTTCGACCCCACGGCCTTCGTGAAAGCCAAGGAGAAGAAGCAGAGGGAGATCCGGATGAAGTGAGTGCCCGCGGCCGCTGCCCACACCCCTGCCGGCTCCTGCCTCCCCCGGGCCGCCCCGCGGTCCCCCCGTGCCCCGTGCCCCAGCCGGGCCCTCTCCTCCCCGCTTCCCAGGCAGCAGCAGCAGCAGCAGCGGAACCGCCGAGGCAGTGGAGGAAGCGGAGACGGACCCTCGGTCTCGTGGTCTCGGCCCACGCGGCCCCCTGCTACCGAGAGGGGCCGAGGGGACGCCGCCAACCGTTCCCGGCACCGCAGCTCCTCGGGTAACCACGGGCCCGACGGGGGGCGCGGGCCTGGGCGGCGGCCCAGGCCCACCGGCTCACCCCGGTCCCCTCTCCCCGCAGTGGACAGCTTCCGCAGCCGCTATTCCTCGGCCAGCTCCGCCAGCGAGCTGGAGGACTTCTCGGAGTCCCTCACCAGAGGGTAACCCTGGCTGCCCAGGGCGGGACCAGCCTCCTGGAAGGGGCGGGGCTTCTGCATTGATTGGTCTTCTTGCCCAGCTTGGGGGCGGGATCCTCTGCACAGGGGCCAGGTGGGAGTGGCCAGGGGCCGGGCCCCGCCCCCCATGTGCCTCGATTCTCCATCTTCCCAGCATCCGCTCTCGAGCTCGAGGGAAGCCAGCCAGCCCCACACCCTGGAATGGGCAGGACGTTGTGAGTGACCTCCGTGCCTCCTGGGAATGTCACTGGGGCTCTTGGGTGGAGGGCGGGGGTGGGGGAGGCTGTTTGTGGGTCTTCCTCAATTGGCAAGGCCAGCCCCTCCTTCCACGCCTGTGTGACCCGGGGCCTCGTTCCCCTGCCCGCCCCCGTGACACCCCACATGAGCTTAATATGTGTGCTACTTGGGCCTTAGATTTGGGGTTCTCCTGTGGGGCAGGTGCCTCCCTGACTCTCCCTCTCCTCCACACCAGAAGCCCAGCCCCCGGGAGCGCAGAGGTCATCAGAAACGCCTGGCCAACTCAGGGGGCTGGGTCCCCATCAAAGGTGAGCCTGGGACCCCTGCCGGGCCCTCCCAGTCACACCCATGGGTGTGACCATAGGGATGACCATGAGGGGTCTGCTTCACACCCCCACGCCTGCGCCCACAGAGTACAGCTCGGACCACCAGGCCGTGGACATGGCTGAGATAGACGCGCGCCTGAAGGCCCTGCAGGAGTACATGAACCGGCTGGACACGCGGTCCTGACGGGCGGGGTGGGGCTGCGCCCCGCCCACCCCAAGCCCCACCCCGCCTGCTGGGGGGCGGGGCTTGTGGATTTTGTAAATAAATGTTGGTCCTTGGGACCCCCTTAGCTTCCGGCTGCTGCGGGGTGGGGTGGTTAATGGGGCCTGAGCCCCCTGGTTTGTGGTTGATTCCTGGGGAGTGGATGGGGTTTGCTGGGTGGGGGTCCTGCATGGTCCCCGCGGGGCTGCTGTCATCCAGACCCGCTTGGTGTGGATCCCCGGCTTCTGACCTGAGGCCTTGGGGGTCTGAGCTATGTTGCAATTCGGGCTGGGGTCTCAGGGTCTGTGATCAGGGTGGGGGGAGGGCCCGGGAGAGGGGGCGGGGCGCATGGACGGGACCTGCTCATCACTCCAGAGCTGCGTGTTTATTGGGGAAGGGGCGGTGGGGCTCCGGTGCCCTCACTTGTGGTAGTGCGGCAGGCTCTGGAGGATGTTGTAGAGCTGATCGCCCGGGGACTGCGTCTGCTGCACGTCCCGGTGGCCTTTGAGCTGGTAGTTGGAGGTCAGGTAGCCGCGGTCCACAGCGCAGTCCAGCAGGCTCCGCAGTGCCCGGATGGAGCGCGGTGGGGGCGCGCGCTCTGTGGGGCACACAGGGTGGGGGGTCTGATCGGACCCCGCCCTCCACGCTGCTTCCCTCTCCCCTCCATGCTGTCTCCCCCCTCTCCTCCATCCCCCCTCCCCCTCCCCTCCACACCGCGTCTCTCCACCCCCTCCCTCCCCCTCTGCCCCCCTCCCTCTGCCCCCTCCCTCCCCCCTCCCAACGGTGAGAACAGTGCCGGCTCCCATAGGGCTGTTGGAGGACCCAGGGTGTAGGCTGGTGTAGGACCCAGGGGTGCCCTCGGCAAGCACCCTGGTCCCGCGATGGGCACTGGTCTCCCCCCAGGCCTCGGAGTCTGGCCCCACAGCGCTCACCAGGACCTTCTCTAGCCCCCCACTAGCCCAAGAGGAGGTGGGGCTGGGAACTCCGACTTACCCACCTTGCACCAGGCACGGCTCTCAAGACCCCTGCCCGCCCTCCCCCGCGCCACGCACCCATGTAGTTGCCCATGAAGGTGATGCCGATGGCGAGGGAGTTCCAGGCGGGACCAGAGTGGGCGCCCTTGGTGCGCCAGCCGCGGCCCTCGTACACCAGGCCATCTTCTCCGATCAGGAAGCTGGGCGGGAGGCACGTCCGGTGAGCGCCTGAGGGCTGGGGGGGGACTCCCCCCCCTCCCCAGCAGCTCCCACGCCCCAGCACCCAAGCCAGCAGGGCACTGCAGCTGCCGCCCTCACACCCTGAAGCCCAGAAGGGGAATCCACTTTTCCATAAAGCAATTCATTGACTTTTTCTTGTGGTTTGGGGATAGGGTCTCATGACACAGCCTGACTTGGCGGTGAACTTGGTATCCACCTTTTGAACGCTGCCTTTTGAACGCTGGGATTACAGGTGTGCCCTACTGCACCTGGCTTGGGGTACCAGGTTCCTCCCTCTCCATGGAGGATGGGAGGGTCCGAGCCAGAGACCTAGATCGATGAATGAACGATCAACTCTGGAGCTGGAAGGGCTAGGGAAAGCCCCATAGCTTCTAGGTTTTTCTGAATTGGCTATACTGAGGCAATCCAGGGTGGGGCCTGGTAACCTGCATTTCCAGTAAGTTCTGCAGGCCATTCCCAAACTTACCTTGGCCCAAGTTCAAATGTTCCCTCTTTCCTGGAACCCTACCTGTTATGCTGAGAAGAAAGTTGGAGCCTCCCCTCCCTAGCAAAAAAAGGTTCTCCCTGCACCCCCTGAGGCCCTGTCCCCTCCAACCCTGCTCACCTGTCCCCCCCATCCTTCAGGACTAGGGCCCTGTGTCCCCTACAGAGCCACCTCCAAGGCCTGACACTGGCCCCAGGACTCAGCACCGTGTGCTGGTCCCCAAAAAGCCCAGCCTTTAGAAAGGATCTCTTTATGGAGCTTAAGCGGGCCCTGGAGAAGAAGCCAAGATCTCCTCCCCAAGTTGAGCAAGCTGCGTGGGGTGCAGCAGGGCAAGTCTAGAACCCTGAAGGGCAGGGCTGGGGTGTAGAATGGAGGTGGGTGGCAGAGCACCTGCCTAGCACCACCAAGCCCCAGGACGCGCCTTGAGCACCCCGTTCCTGCAGGCCTCCCTCACTCACTTGTAGGACACATCACACCAGTCTTTGGTCCGCATGTGGTAGCTCTGGACGTTCCGAACCTGTTGCTCGCACAGGGCTGGGCTGGCGCAGGTGCTGCCGGCAGTGTGGGAGATCACCACAAGGCGGGCAGGCAGTTGCAGGGGATCCGCGCACTTGGACACCAGGGCCCCCCACTCCCCTCGGGGGACAATGGGGCCACAGCTGCTTCCCAGGCCCAGGAGGGCAAGGAGGGCACAGGCCAACAGCATGTAGGATCTGGGCATGGCTAGTAGGGTACAGAGGGTTTTGTAGGAGTGTGTGTGTGCCCAGGGCCTGGCTGCCTTTTATCTGCTGGGGCAGTGGGGGCAGGGCAGAGCTTGCTTCACATCCTAAGAGAACTTCCTGGGCTTGGCACAGGGGTCCCCAAGTTCAGCTTCCTCCTGGGCAGGGCTGGGTTGAGGCACAGTCTAGGTAGGAAAGGGTGGCCTGACCATGCCCTGAAGTACTTTGGCATGAGTTTTCCAGAACCCCAGCTGGAATATGGGCCCTGCTTTGTGTCTTCTGACCCACCCAACACACACACACACACACACACACACACACACACACACACACGCACACACACACACCAGGAGCAGAGCAGGGAGCCCCAGGACTTTGGAATATGGACACACACACACTCAGGAGCAGGAGCCCCAGGGCTTTGGCTCACTTCCTACTTTCACCAGGAACTGAACTAACAAAAGACTCCCATTTTGAACAACTAGGCCAGAGGCGGAGGGCATTTAACCCTTGCAGCACCATAGCAGATGGGTGTTGGGGACCCCTCTCCCCCCCACCCCGTGCCAGCTGGGTAAGATCCAAGTGGGGGCACAGGGGAAATCACTTAGTGAAAGCCGGCGCCAGCCTGCTGCCTTGATTCTGATGGCTTTCTGGTATGTGAAAGCCAGTACACCTTTGTGTGCCTCAGTTTCCCCACTGGCAACATGGAGGTGATCACAGAAGGTTCCTAGATCCCAGGTGTTCCATTAGGGCCAGGAGGGAGGCCCTCATCTCTAGGAACACACTGTGGGAGGGCTGGGGACAAAGTTCACCCTTCGGGACTTAACTGGGGCATTTGACCCATGTAGGATCCCTATCCCCAGGGCTTCCTGGGAAATTCCAGGGCAGAGTGCCTGGCTGCTGCTTGCTGCTGCCCTCCTGTTTTAGTGATCTTTTTATTTTTCTTTTTTTGCCAGTCCTGGGACTTGAACTCAGGGCCTGGGCACTGTCCCTCAGCTGCTTTTTTTTTTTTTTTTTGGTCAGTCGTGGGGCAGAAGGGGAGCTGTGGCTCAAGTGGGTAGGCACCAGTCCTGAGCACAAAAGCCCAGAGAAGGTGTGTAGGCTGGTGGCTTATGCCTGTAATCCCAGCTACTGTGGAGGCTAAGACCTGAGGATCACCATTCAAGGCCAGCCAGGGCAGGAAAGCATTGAGCTGAAGAGCTGAGGGACAGTGCCCAGGCCCAGAGTTCAAGCCCCAACAGCTAACAATGATAATAACAACAACAATAAAAGATACTATTATTTTGTTGTACTTTTAGACCTTTACCCTATCGCTCACATTATAACTGTGGGTCATTTGATGTGGGGGATCTCACTGAGTTCCCAAATGGCTCTTTACGTCAGTGTCATGTATCATACAGTTACTTGGTCTTCAGTTTCTATCCTGCCCCATACTAGCTGCTCCATGACCTTGAGCAACTGGGTAGCATTGGACTCTGCTGACCACTTCCCTTACCTTATGTAAGAGGTAAGAGTGTCTTGGTTTTCCTTCTGCTTGTGTGTGTGTGTGTGTGTGTGTGTGTGTGTGTGTCCTGGGGCTTGAACCCAGAGCTTGGGGACTGTCCCTGGGGCTTTTTTTTTTCTTGTTCAAGGTTAGTGCTCTACCACTTGAGGCACAGCTCTACTTCCAGATGGATTTAAATAGTTATTTGGAGATGAATTTCACAAAGCCAGGCACCAGTGGCTCACGCCTGTAATCCTAGCTGCTTGAGAGGCTGAGATCTGAGGATCCTGATTCAAAGCCAACTCTGGCAGGAAAGTGTCGGTCATGGGGCTTAAACTCTGAGCTTGGGCGCTGTCCCTTAGCTCAAGGTGAGCGCTCTACCACTTGAGCCAAAGCATCATTTCCAGTTTTCTAGTGGTTTATTGGAGATAAGAGTCTCACCTGTCTGAGCTGGCTTTGAACCACGATCCTCAGATCTCAGCCTCCTGAGTAGCTAGGATTCCCGGCATGAGCCACTGGGGTCCGGCTTGTAAGACTCTTATCTCCAATAAACGACTCAAAAAATGCCAGAAGTCATGCTGTGGCCCAAGTGGTAGAGCACTAGCCTTGAGCAAAAAAGCACAGAGACAGTACCCAGGCCCTGAGTTCAAGACCCAGGACCAGCCAAAAACAAAGAGATTGTGGGAAAGGAAAAGTACTTGTTACTTAACTCATGTAATTATAATACTGCAGTACATCACCTCTACAATAACAATCAAGTAGTTTTTTTGTTTGTCGGTCAAGGGGCTTGAACTCTAACCCTGGGCATTGTCCCTGGGCTCTTCAGCTCAAGGTGAGCACTCTACTACTTGAGCCACAGTGCTGCTTCTGGTTTTCTGGTGGTTTATTGGAGATGAGAGTCTCATGACTTTTCCTGCCTGAGCTGGCTATAAACTGCAATTCTCAAATCTCAGACTCCTGAGAAGCTAGGATTAGAGGCGTGAGCCACCAGCGCCTGGCAGTAAATTATTTTTCTTTTTTTTTTTTGGGTCAGTCATGGGCCTGAACTCGGCCTGGGCACTGTCCCTCAGCTCTTCAGCTCAAGGCTAGTGCTTCACCACTTGAACTACAGCACCACTTCCGGCTTTTTCTGCTTATGTGGTGCTGAGGAATTGAACCCAGGGCTTCATGCATGCAAGACAAGCGCTCTACCACTGAGCCACCTTCCCAGCCCCAATTATTTTTCTTTATAGTATGGGTCCATTAAAAAAAAAAAAAAAGAATAATGAGCTGGGAAGGTGGCTCAGTGGTAGAGCGCTTGCCTTGCATGCCTGAGGCCCTGGGTTCCATTCCTCAGCACCACATAAGCAGAAAAAGCTGAAAGTGGCTCTGTGGCTCAAGTGGTAGAGCGCTCGCCTTGAGCTGAAGAGCTGAGGGGCAGCGCCCAGCCCAGAGTTCAGGCCCCAAGACCTGACCAAAAAAAAAAAAAATAGATGGTGTTACCCTATCTCTAACATTACAACTGTGTGTCGTGTGATGCAGGGGTCTCAGAGTTCCCAAGTGCCTCTTTACGTCAGTGTCATTATCATACAGTTACTTGGTCTTCAATTTCCATCCTGCCCCATACTAGCTGCTCCATGACCTTGAGCAACTGGGTAGCATTGGACTCTGCTGACCACTTCCCTTACCTTATGTAAGAGGTAAGTGTCTTGGTTTTCCTTCTGCTTTTGTGTGTGTGTGTGTGTGTGTGTGTGCATGTGTGTGTCTGTCCTGAGGCTTGTGTGTGTGTCAGGACTTAGGGGCTGTCCCTGCGGTTTTGTTTTTGTTTCTTTTCTTGCTCAAGGTTATTGCTCTACCACTTGAGGCACAGTTCTACTTCCAGATTGATTTTTGGAACTTCATTGGAGATAAGAGTCTCACCGATTTTCCTGCTCCAGGCTGGTTTTGAATTGTGATCCTCAGATCTCAGCCTCCTGAGTAGCTGGGATGCCAGGGGAAATCCTCAGCTGACTTGTTGCATTCTCAAGGTGACACCTTCTTTCTGCCAGTTTACACTAGAGGAGAAAACAATTCCTCTATTTGCTTTCCCCGCCCCATTTCCTTGTTCAGATTGGTCACCAACCACAGTCTTAAATTTCCCCGTGTAATTTCAATTAATACCTTTCCTACTGTACAATGCAGTCTGTGTGGAGGGTGATAAGGTACGGCATTGTACAATCCAGGATGCTGGAGGGGAAAGGAGGAGCTGGGGTGACTATGCTGGCCCGGATGTGTCCCGGATGTCCCATCACCCCCAAATAAATGTGGGCAGCGCTGCCATTTCAGAATGGGTTTCTTTTTCACCCAAGTACAAGGGGTTGGGGAACGGGGTCAGTTTTTGTGGATGCACTGAGCACCCCATATTTTAATATCCTGTGCCTCCCTCTCTACGCTCTCCCCAGCAATTTGAGAAATGCCCTAATAAAAACAGCAAGTTTCCTGGCTTTGTATTGAGCGAGGGGCCTGCCTTCCTGTCCCCCTCCATCTCCCCCACCCAGGCACTCTAGGGTCCTCTCCTGTCCTCACCTGGGCTGCTCCCAGGTGTCCCCGGGCCCCCCATCCTCCTATTACAAGTTTGTGTGTGGGCCGTGGCGGGGGGTGGGGCTTGAACTCTGTGCCTGGGCACGGTCCCTGAGTTCAGCTCAGTATTAGCCCTCTACCACATTGAACCACAGCGCCACTTCTGGTTTTCTCAAAGTTAATTCAAGATAAGGGTCTCCTGGACTTTCTAGTCTGGGCTGGCTATGAACCATGATCCTCAGATCTCAGCCTCCTGAGTAGCTAGGATTACAGAAGTGAGCCACTCCTGCCCAGCTGACATATGTCCTTTGGTGGGGAGCACGATATGAATGCAGGTCAGGGCATTGAATCTCGACCCTCTCTGTTTATATTGTGGGTAGAGAAAGAAAAACAAGAATTGCTAAGAAACAAAAGATTGCAGAAGCCACACACTGGTGGCTCAGGCCTGTCATCCCAGCTACTCAGGAAGCTAAGATCTGAGGATCGAAGCTGAAAGCCAGCCTAGGATAAAAGTCCCTAAGACTTTTATCTCAATTAAACACTGGAAAACCAGAAGTGGCACAGTGGCTCAAAGTGGCAGAGTGCTAGTCTTGAGTGGAGAAAAGCTCAAGGATTGTGCCCAGGCCCTGAGTTCCCCTCCCTCTTGTTTCCATGTGGCTGTGATTCTCACCTGGCTTTTGCTAGCCCCTCCTGGGGCTGAGGTAGGAATAAGGTGGAGAATGTCAGCTATGCAGACCAAAGGCCTCTTACTTCTGGCTCATTTGCTAGCAGGGACCACCTCATGAGAATTTAGAGGTGCATCACCTCTGTTGTCTGAAGGAAGCTTTGTTTGCCAAAGACAGGATGGTCATGCCACCAGACAGGAGACACACCCATGCAGTAGTTGGGGGTGCAAGGTGCCAGGGAGGGGCCCTTTAAGACACCTAGAGTGTAGTTGACAGATTGTCTACCAGGTGGCGATGGTGTGCTATGAATGGAGCTTTCCACCAGGGGGCGCTGGTGCGCTGGGAATGGAGCTGGATCCTGAGCCTTGGTCTCCACTGGGCCTATTCCACCACCAGCACCCAAATCATGGTGAAGAGCCCGGGATGCCCACCACCGAAGCCAGCTGGCACAACAGCTGCTGTGCCCACACCCGTCAGGGGTCTTTGGGCTGAAATGGTAGCTCAGTGGTTGAGCTCTTGCCTAGCAGGGCTCTGGCTCTTTGCTGGTTAACTAGAGATCAGGAAAGTCTCAAAACCTTTTCTAGCCCAGGCTGGTTTTGAACCAAGACCCTCAGATCTCAGCCTCCTCAGTGGCTAGGATGACAGGTGTGAGCCACCGGTGCCTGGACAACCTTTTTCTTTTTTAGCATTGAGGATTGAACCCAGGGTCTTGTCCTTGCTCAGCGAGCACTCTACCACTTGAGCCACACCCGCAGCTGGAAATCATTTTAACAAACGCATTTCCCTTATTGCCTTAGCTGCCAGGAAACTCTTCTGTAAAGTTGAATGCTTGCTGACATCATGGACTTCTGATGTGTCCATTTATATAAGGTTTTCTTCTATTTCAACATGTAACAAGTATGTTTTTCTTGGGCACCAGGACACCCTCAGGTTGACTTTCTTGTCCCACTACCAATGCATACTTTCCAGTGAGTCACTCTTCTGATCCTTCTTGCCACAAATTCTCCCAACACACCCTCTAAACTCTCCTGGCTGGGTTATCAACCATCCCCATTCTTCAGTGTCCCCTCAACCCTGAGGAGCACTAAGAAAACACTGCTTCCCCTGCCTCTGTTTCTAATTCCCGCCTCCTGTTGTCTTACACCCCACAATCCTCCAGGGACAGTGCCCAAGCCCAGAGTTCTAGCCCCATGACCAACAACAACAACAACAAATCTCCCAGTCTTTTTTTTTTGGTCAGTCATGGGGCTTGAACTCTGGGCTTGTGTGCTATCTCTCAGCTCTTCAGCTCAAGGTGAGCGCTCTACCACTTGAGCCACAGCGCCACTTCTAGTTTTCTAGTGGTTTATTGGAGATTAAAGAGTTTCACGGACTTTCCTGCCCAGGCTGGCTTTGAATCATGACCCTCAGATCTCAGCCTCCTGAGTAGCTAGGATGACAGGCGTGATCCACCGGTGCTCAGCTAATCATCCAGTTTTTATGGTTGACATGAAAGTCCAAGATTGAATTGACTAGAGTTCAGGTCTGGCTGCATCCAGGAAGCTGAGTGCTGTTTGTCAAGACTGTCTTGTGTCTTTCATTTCTGTTCTCTTTCTCTCTCTCTTTCACATGTGGTCATTGTAACATTTATTGCTTGTGTTGAAGTTCTTGAAGACCCAGTGTGCTTTAAAAAATCGTTGAATTGGCATAAATTAGTAACACAAAGGTCTGTTTTCGCTTTATTGACCTCATCTCATACAGCCTCAACTCTCTTCCTGGTGGGGTGAGAACCCTCAGCTCTGGCTTGGCAAAGGGAGCAGATACAGAAAGCTTCTTTGCTAGTCCTCATAGCAAATATCCCAGCCTTGGTCCTCTCCAGGCGTGATGGGGCCACCAGCCTTCTTTGAACCTATGGCTTTGGTTTGGATCCTCGGGCCCTCCATGGAGCCGGTGAGGGTAAGAGGGGTAAGCAAGCCCCGTTCAAATTCATAAACTTGAGTCGCACGGTGGGGTGGGGTGCATGTGCAAAGGCCCGGTGGGGCACGCCCTCTGTTTGAGGATGTAGTCCACTTCTGGAATCTTCCAAAGCTGCCTCTTGAATATTGGTCTCTCCAAGCTGTAAGGGGCACGGAGCAGCTGTCAGGCACACCGTGCACGCACACGCACACGCGCGTGCACCCCTCTGCACCCCTCCAGCTCCTCCACAAACGGGGGTGTGGCCAAGTCAAAACACAGTCACTCCAAGTAAGCTTAATTATTCATCCGCCAGAACCTGAAAAGGGAGTTACCGAGGCCAAGGGGTCAGGGGGGAGGGGAGGGGGAGCACTCACTGGAAAACTGGGGGTGACCGGGGTCCGGGCGAGCCAGGGGTGGGGTGCAAAGGTGAGTGGAGACACCCCCATAAAAAAGAGGGGGTAGGGGAGACGGGGCTGCGGTCGGACAGGGAGAAGCTGGGGAGTCGGGGGCGGAGCTGGGGCGCAGGGGTGGGAAGGTCATCGCGGGACCCTGAGGCCCGGGTTGGGGGAGCCGAGGCCGGCGCGAGCACGGAGCCCGCGGAGCCCCGAGGAAGTCGCGGCCCGGGGCGGGGCGGGGCGGGGCGGGGGTGTGCACCGCACCGCACTCCCCCCTCCCTTAGGGCTCCGAGCCTCCCCCCTCTGGTCCCGCCCCTTCCTCGGGAGTGTCAGGCCCATCATCCAATGAGAGCAGCGGGCCTGGCACGGCACGGCCAATGGCGCACCGGGGGCGGAGCTGGGGAGGGGGCTCTCAGGGCCCGGGGAGGGGGCTCGAGGCCTCCGAGGGCTCCGGAGCAGCGACGCGCGAGCCATGGCGCTGGGGTTGCAGCGTGCAAGGTACTGGGCTTCGGGGGTCAGAGATGGGAATTTGGGGGGCTCCTCTTCTGGGGGGGCGCTTTGGGTTCTGGAGTGCAAGCTCGGGATACCCGGAGCTCGCCATGGGAGGCACCATTCCACCGCCCCACGCTCCACTTTGGGGTTCCTGGGGGTGGGGGTGGGGTCCCCCAAGTCCCTGGCTGCCCCGCCCCTTTCCCAGGACCAGCTTTGGAAGTTAGTGATCCCCCATTTCCTACTACCCCAGGTTTGATTCCCCGGCTGGGGGTGTATGTGACCCCTAGGGGTCCACCCCGATTCTGTAGGAGGCTTTCTGCCGTCCATGTATGGTTCCCTCCTACAGGGTACCCCAAAATTAAGATTTTCCAGCTAGAAGGAATCCCCTCGGGAGGATTCAGCTCCTGAGTTCCAGAAGAGATCACTTTTGATAGGACCCTGCCTGACTTTCCCTGGATGTGGGCAGAGAAGGTTCTAGAATGTCTGAGGCCTTTCTCAGGAGCCTTTAAAAAAAAAGTGGGGTCACCTTCAATAACAGGGGAACGAGAGGACCCTCTTCCCATAGTCTGGCCTTGGGTCCCATGTGTCCTCCCCCATCCAGACCCTGTTACTGAGGAATGAGGGCTCCACATGACTCTTGTTTGGGGGAGCCTCATCTGGGGGGGACCCTCTGGGAAGGTCTGTGTCTGATCCAGGGGGAGATGCAGCAAGCCTCAGCCGGGGCCATCCTGGGCAGAGATGGTTTTGAGGGTTCACCTGGGCAAAGGCAGTTTGGGGGTTCACCTCTCAGTTGGGGTAGATCATCGGGGCAGAGGCCAACTGTGCTCTGGCACCACTGCCAGAGTGAGGTCCCATGAGATCCCCCAGAGTGTCCCAGGTCCTTGCTTCTCCCTGTCCAGCCTGAGGCCTCCAGCTTTACCACCACCCCCATTCCTCTTCTCCTGGCTTTGTGAATCAGGCTAGATCTGTCTGCACCCCTATGTTTTTACATCTCCCCTCCCTCCCCAGGAGCCCCTTCCACCCACTCTTTTCCAGTGCTGGCTCTGGGCCCACGGGGATCTCCATCCCCCCCTCCCCACACACTTTGGACCAATGGGCTCCGCCCCTCCCACCCCACCCCCACTGGGGGGAACCTGTGCTGGCAGAATTGGGGTGCTCCCTCTGGCCCCCAAAGCTAGTCCTTTCCTGTGATGTCTCCCTACTACTGCTCAACCATCAGTTGAACCCGGATCCCAGCGGGGCTCCCTTCTGCACCCCCCCCCGGGGGCGCAGCCAAAGGGGGCCTGAGTGATGGAGATTGTACCTCCTGCCCCCAAACCCCCTTCCCATCATCCAGCCCGGGCTTCCTGCCACCCGGACCCTGTCAGGGGTAAATGCTCCCATGGACCCAGTGCTCCGGGGTTCCTCAGGATAGAACTTGGGGGACTGGCACCCCACTGAATTACTATCATTGGGAAAATGTCAAGTCAGAAAGACTCCTGACACCCCCCACATACTCCAAGTTCCCTCTTGAATTGGAAGCCTCTTGGGCTGCCTCCAGGCCCTGCCAGAAAGGGTCCCCCCACAAATCCTCAAGCTTTACAAGTCCCCCAATACCCAGTGGAGAGACAGAAGACCAGGCGAGGCTCCTTCCTTCTGTCCAGCCTTCGCGTGGGGGCGAGTTTTCCAGGCAGAGAGGTGGGCTTCTCCCCCCCTCCTGGCTTGGGGGTGTGCCGCTTCCCAGCCCCCCCCTTCCCAGGCCTCACCCGGGGCCTCCTGGCTCCACCCCCTGTTCTCAGCGAGAACGGGGAGGAAGGGTGGCTGGGTCTCAGCTGCACGTCCCAGCATGGGCACAGGGCCAAGGGGCCGCCCGCGCTGGGCGTGGGGCCAGCCGGGGAGCTCCAGAGGCTGCAGCCGTGGTGGTGGTGAGATCAGGGAAGGAATTGGGGAAACGCTTGGCCAAGAGGAGCAAGGCAGGGGTCTCCCAGGTAGTGGGTTTGACATTGAAGAATGCAGGCCCTAAAGTCAAGAGTTCAAATCCCAGCACACCCTCTTGCTGGCTGGGTGGCCTTGTGCCAGTGATTGCTGTCTCTGAGCCCTCGTTGGGCATCCTGGAAAAGGGGTGTCATCCCTCCCCCATGATCTCAGATCAACATGAGGAGCCCATAAGGAAATGGGAGGGGGGGAGCGAGGAGGGGACAGGATGCGTAAGGTGTGCAAGTCCCAGTGAGGGTCGGAAGGAAAGAGACCATGTTCTGCTTCCGAGCACTGTGTGGCTTCTGGCAAATTCTGTCACTTCCTGGGGCCTGCTTCCTCCTTGGGAAAGGAAATCCCGCCAGGTGAATACAGGTGTAAGCTTGGGTAACTAATGGGTGATGAGCATTGGAGGAGCTTCATCAGTGCTCTTTCCTGCTTTGCTTCAATAGTCCAGAACTAATTCAAGATGCTCCTGTCCATCCTTTCCCAGGGCTGGACTTACAGGTGTGCACTACTAGGCCTGGTTTTTAGCTCACTGAGTGTGTGGCATACCAAAGCCTTCCTTATGACTGCCACTGCTGTGGGTTGGGCCCCCTCCCGTGGAGAGGTGTCCGCGCCAGGCACAGAATGTCATTGTACACACACCACTAGGTACAGCAAAACCCCACAGGCTGCTCTCACAAACTGCTCCTCTATCCCGGTGTATTTGGGCATTCACGCAGTGTGTGTGTGTGTGTGTGTGTGTGTGTGTGTGTGTGTGTGTGTGTGAGATGGGGCTTCAACTCTGGCTGGGTGCTGTCCCTCAGCTCTTCAGCTCAAGGCGAGTGCTCTACCACCTGAGCCACAGCGCCACTTCTGGTTTTCTGGTGGTTCATTGGAAAAAGTCTCACTGACTTTCCTTCCCCCGGCTGGCTTTGAACCGTGATCCTCCGATCTTAGCCATTTCTAAAGCTCCCCTAAGAGGTGATGCTATTAACTATGTTCAGAGAAACTATGCCACCTGCCCACAGTCACACAGCTCAGAAGTAACAGTCAAGATTAGAACCCAGAGACACTGTTTCCCCTCCCCTCCCCACTGCTGCATCACAGATATGTTTCAAAAAAAAAAAAAAAACCACGGGGAGCTCGCCCGCACTTCCCTCCCAGCATCTAGAGAACGGAGTGGGAACTGGGAGGTCCCCTGCCACCAGCTGGCTCCTTGTAACTGAGAAAAGAAGTCGGCACGGAGAGCCCAGCTGCCTGGGAGGTGGGGCGCAGGCTCCGCCCCTGTTCCTCCTTTCCCTCTCCCCTGCTCTCCTTCCCCTCCGTCTGGGCCCCCAGCTCCGTGAGGCCCGCCCACCCCCACCCTCTGGGCAGGAAGACAAACAGGGCTGGAACAGAACGGAATGTCCTAGGGGCGGCCAGGACGGTGGCCCCTGCCCCCACCAGCCAAGTGGGAGGGGTTGGGGGGCCCAAACTTCAGTTCTTCCAGGCCTCCCACCTCTTGTACTGAACACTCCCCCCGCCCCCCTTAGTAACCAGACAGGAAAATTCCCTTGTATGCTCCTGTCTGGGGATGGGGTAAGCGCCATTACAGAAGTGGCTTCTTCTGATTGCAGAATTTAGGAAGGAACAATCTCTTCTAGACATCCTGCTAGGACAGGGGGGAAGAGGCACCCCGGGAGGGGAGGAGAGAGGTTCAGAAAAAAAAAAAGAGGCTTTGGAATCCCAGCTCAGCCAGATACTGGATTTTTTGTGGTTTCCTGGGCAAAGGATTTCCCCTTTTAGAGCCTCAGTTTCCCCTTTGTGAAGTGGAGAGATTTAAAACCCCCTCCATCCCAGCTGCAGGCTCTTTGAGAGTTGCTGCATGCTATGTTTTTGTTTTTTTTCTTGGTGAACCTAAGCATAGTGGTGCATGCCTGTAATCCCCACACTTGGAAAGATCACAGGTTCAAGGACAGCCTGGACTCTCTCTTTTAAAAAAAAAATCAAACAGCAAAAAGCTCCACACATTAGGCCATGTATATGATGCCAGATGGAATAATATATCCTTGAATTTTTTGTTAATTAGGAAACAAAAATGAGGGGCTGGGAAGGTGGCTCAGTGATTGACTGCTTGCCTCGCATGCTTGAAGCTCTGGGTTCGATTCCTCAGTACCACATAAGCAGAAAAAGCCAGAAGTGGCATTGTGGTTCAAGTGCTAGAGTGCTAGCCTTGAGCAAAAGAAGCTCAGGGACTGCGCCCAGGCACTGAGATCAAGCCCTAAGATTGGAAAAAAAAAATAAATAAATAAAAAATAAAATTCCTACAGACCTGCAGTTTGAGTCACAGTAGTGGCAGAAACAAAGCACAGTGGTGCTAAAATGTGGCCATTCACGAACCAGGGCCATAGAGACAGAGAACTTTAAGAATTCAGGCTTCGCTCAGGCCTCAGTTTCCTCCTCTGTTGAGTGGGGGTTCATTTTCCAACTCCCTTCTGGGGTTATGCCTGTCTTAAATGGGTTCCATGCTCGGCACAGAAACTGACCTAATGGTGAGAGTTGGGGTGGGTGGCAGGCATTTGCTGGCGGGTATTCGGAGTGGATGGAAGGGCAGAGGCTGGACAGAAGGCAGGGGTGGCTTTGCTGTGTCACCCCGCTGGGGCCCTGCCCCTTTGGGGGGCCCCTGTGGCGGGTGCTAGACAGTTGAGATATCTCTCCCCAAGAGTCTGAGGCCTCTCAGCTCAGTCCCAGAGGGAGGGAAAAGGGCAGGGGAGGGGGCCCTCTTTCCTCTGCCCCCCTTCCCGCCCGGGGGGCCCCCTGTCCCCCCAAGATTCCTTAGCTCCGGAGGAATAGACTGCAGATAAACCCAGAAGGGGAACAGATCTGCCCTTAGAGAGAGGACCGAGGCCCCGAGGGGGTGCGAGCATGAGCTGGCGCGTGGACAGGTAAAAATCCGAACCCAGGAGGGGCCCCCGGGTGCATCCTTCCTGCAACTCGAGGGGGGCCCCCGGCGGCGACACCCTACGTGCCAGGCCCCTGGAGCACCCTCCAGGGAGGGCTGGGGAGGGCGCCACCGGTGAAGGCCGCCCATGCCCCGTAGGTCGACCACCGAGCTGCGCAAGGAGAAGTCCCGGGATGCGGCTCGCAGCCGGCGCAGCCAGGAGACCGAGGTGCTGTACCAGCTGGCGCACACGCTGCCCTTCGCGCGCGGGGTCAGCGCGCACCTGGACAAGGCCTCCATCATGCGCCTGACCATCAGCTACCTGCGCATGCACCGCCTCTGCGCCGCAGGTGAGCTCCGCCCCGCCCCGCCCTGGGAACGCCCTCTCCGCAAGGCCCCGCCCCGAAACGCCTCCGACAAACCCACGCCCCTCCCGGATGAGGCCACGCCTCCCGAGGGCTGGTGGCCCCGCCCCCCTGGGAAATTTTCTTGGTCACAGCCCCGCCTCCCTGGAATCAGCTCTGCAGAGAGGTCCCGCCTCTTCCCGCACCGGGCCAATCCGGAGCAGTCCATGATTCTTAAAGTCCCACCCCTGCCGTCGCAGTCTTATCTCTGCTAAGGCACGCGTCCTAGTGCGGCCCCGCCCCTTTGGGACTGCCGGGGAAGACTCTCGTAGGTAGGCCCCGCCCTCTCCCTCGTAAAAGTTCCCCTTGGGAAGCCCTGCCGCCAAAACTTTAATTCCTTGTGAGTTCCTCTCTCCCTCCCCTTCCCTTTTATTTCCATAGTAGTCATTCTTTCCTGTTTCCTGTTAAGAGTTCAGTTCCACTCTGGAGGAAGCTTGCTCGCGCTCTCTCTGTCTCTCTCTTTCTCTCTCTCTCTCTCACACACACACACACACACACTTGGAACGCAAGGACCTTGAAAAGACTTTACTATGGAGGAAGATTTTGTGATAGGATGACTGGATTCTAGTCACACTACCCTCAGGGGGACCCTGAATCATCACAGCCCCTCCTGAACCATCATCTCTCCCCTCCTCCCCCCAGTCTCCCCTGTAGAGCTCTGCCTGCCTAAGAGGCCCACCCTCTAAGAATTTTGGGTGGGTAATGTCACCTCCTCCCTCTGCCACCCCCCCCCGCATTTCTGTAAGTCCCTTCAAGTGGGACAACTGACTGGTGACACCCCCATCACCCCACTCCGGGCACCAGGGGAGTGGAACCAGGTGGGAGCAGGGGGCGAACCACTGGATGCGTGCTACCTGAAGGCTCTGGAGGGCTTCGTCATGGTGCTCACTGCTGAGGGAGAGATGGCTTACCTGTCAGAAAACGTCAGCAAGCACCTGGGCCTCAGTCAGGTGAGCTGTCAGCTCCCTGGGGATACGCAGATGCCTAGCTCTGCCTTTGCTCTGCTAATAATGAATGAATGGATAGATGAATGAATGAGGGGTCAATGAATGAACCAGTGGAGGAATGAATGAGAGGGTGAATGAATGGGTGTGTGGATGAATGAGGTGACTATGGAGTCGTCCAGGTTTATGAATTGGGGTGGAGACAGCCAGGGGGAGCAGAGTGGGGGGGCCCTGGCCAGAGGGGCCTCCCCTGACCACAGAGCCCCCCTGTGCCCCTCCACACAGCTGGAGCTCATCGGACACAGCATCTTTGATTTTGTCCATCCCTGTGACCAGGAGGAGCTCCAGGATGCCCTGACTCCCAGGCCCAGTGAGCACCCTGCAGGCCCTGTTCCCACTTCCGGGGTGGGAGGTTGGGGGGGGTGGACGCTGAGGGCCACCCCAATGTAGCATGTCCTCTTGGCCTCTCCAGCATGGCAAAGAAGGGAGATGGCTTTGCCCTGGGGGGTTGGGGTATCACACCCTTCCTAACCCTGGGAGTGGGGTTCCCTCAGCATTGGGGATCAACTACAGTGCTGGGGGATGCTGAACCCTTGTGCAGATATCTGGTGACCTGCTCCCCATCTTATGCTCCACCCCCACCCCCTCAGGCCCATCCAAGAAGAAAGCTGAGGCCCCCACCCAGCGCCGCTTCTCCTTGCGCATGAAGAGCACGCTCACCAGCCGCGGGCGCACACTCAACCTCAAGGCTGCCACCTGGAAGGTGAGCCATGCCTAACAGGGTGAAGGGGGGAATTCCGAGGCTGCTGGGGTGCGGCCTGGCTTCTGATGGTCCCACAGAGGGTTCGACTCACTCGGGGATCTCCCAGAGCCTACTCCAGGAAGTCCTTGGGGACTTTCTCCCAGCTGTCTCTGGGGGCCAGAGAGGTAGCCCAAGCCCACCACCCCACTTTTGCACTCCCCCAGGTACTGCACTGTTCAGGACACATGAGGGCCTACAAGCCCCCCACGCAGATGTCACCGGGCGGGAGCCCCCGCGTAGAGCCCCCCCTGCAGTGCCTGGTGCTCATCTGTGAAGCCATCCCCCACCCCAGCAGCCTGGAGCCCCCCCTGGGCCGGGGGGCCTTCCTCAGCCGCCACAGCTTGGACATGAAGTTCACCTACTGCGATGAACGGTAGGCCCAACCTGGCCACTCGCTGCCCCCTCTGCTCGCACCCTGTCTTGGAATTTTCTTTCTACTTCCCTCCCTCCCTCACCTCTTGAGGCGCACTGCCACTTCTGGTTTTCTGGTGGTTCACTGGAGATAAGAGTCTCAGGGACTTTCCTGCCTGGGCTTTGAACCATGATCCTCAGCTGTCAGCCTCCTGAGTAGTTAGGATGACAGGGGTGAGCCACTGGTGCCTGGCGTGGTTGCTGTTCTTAAATAACTCAATTTACGGGTTGGGCAGGTGGCTCAGTGGTAGAGTGCTTACCTTGCATGCATGAGGCCCTAGGTTCAATTCCCCAGTACCACATAAGCAGAAAAAGCCAGAAATGGCCGGGCGCTGGTGGCTCACGCCTGTAATCCTAGCTACTCAGGAGGCTGAGATCTGAGGATCGCGGTTCAAAGCCAGCCCAGGCAGGAGAGACCGTGAGACTCCTATCTCCAATAAACCACCAGAAAACCGGAAGTGGTGCTGTAGTTCAAGTGGTAGAGCGCTCGCCTTGAGCTGAAGAGCTGAGGGACAGTGCCCAGGCCCAGAGTTCAAACCCCACGATCGACTAAATAAATAAATAAACCTCATGTTCAGCAGTTAGTAGGGTATCCACATATAGGATGTGTACTGAATAAATGGTTATTAAATTTTTCTGTACTTTCTATGTCCTTTACCCATTTCTTTCGTCTGTCTTTTCCTCCTCCTTCCTTCCCACCCATCCCCAGGTGTGTTCAGAAACAGTAACTGGGTTTAACCTGCTTGTGTTTCAATACTGGCTGTTTGTCCTTGGTCAAATGACTCCACCTCTTGGCACAGTTTTCTGCACTGTCTTTTTTTTTTTTTTTGGTCATGGAGCTTGAACTCTGGACCTGGGCGCTGTCCCTCAGCTCTTCAGCTCAAGGTGAGCCTATACCACTTGAGCCACAGCTCCACTTCTGGTTTTCTGGTGGTTTATTGGAAATAAGAGTCTCATGAATTTTCCTGCTCCGGCTGGCTTTGAACCACGATCCTCAGATCTCAGCCTTCTGGGTAGCTAGGATTATAGGTATAAGCCACCAGCGCCCAGCTATCCTGCACTATCTTGTAGAAGAACTGGTTTTTTTTTTTTTTTTGGTTGGTTATGAGGCTTGAACTCAGGGCCTGGGCGCTGCCCCGAGCCCTTTTGCTCAAGCTCTCTACCACTTTGAGCCATGACGCCACTTCCTGTTTTCTGGTGGGACATTGGAGATAAGAGTCTCACAGACTTTCCTGTTTGGTGTTGACTTCAAACCGTGATCCTGAGATCTCAGCCTCCCGGGGAGCCAAGATGACAGGAGTGAGCCATGGGCACCTGACTGAGCACTTTTCTTTTTATTTGGTTTTATTATTGTTCTGAGATAGGGTTTCTCTAACTTTTCCCAGGCTGTCTTCAAACTCTGGCTCCTTCTGCCTCACCCTCACACTCAGCTTCTCTTTTTCTATTTCTCTCTCTCCCTTCTGCTTTGTTTTTTTTTTTTTCGGTCCAGTCGTGGGGCCTGAACTCTGGGCCTGGGTGCTGTCCCTCAGCTCTTCAGCTCAAGGCTAGCACTCTACCACTTGAGCCACAGCGCCACTTCCAGCTGTTTTCTTTTTGCTTATGTGGTACTAGGAATCGAACTCAGGGCCTGATGCATGCAAGGCAAGCGCTCTACCACTGAGCCACCTTCCCAGTCCCCTCTCCCTTCTGCTTTGTTATCTCCCTGGCCTCATCCGTCCCTGGGTCCCCTGCCCCTTCCTTCTCCCTTGGCCCTGACCCCTGAATGGAACCCCCTCCACACACCCCCAGGATCGCAGAGGTGGCCGGCTACAGTCCTGATGACCTGATTGGCTGCTCCGCCTACGAGTACATCCACGCCCTGGACTCGGACAACGTGAGCAGGACCATCCACACCCGTAGGTGACCTGAATGTCCAGGCTTGAGCTAGCAGCCCCAGGAGCCCCGCCCCAGCTTCTGCTTCCCAAGTCCCAGAGCCCCTCCCACTCCTTCATACCCAACCCCCACCCTGCAGATGCCTCTGACCCTCATCCACCACTCCCCCCCTCCCTCAGTGCTGAGCAAGGGCCAGGCGGTGACAGGCCAGTACCGCTTCCTGGCCCGGAGCGGTGGTTATTTGTGGACCCAGACCCAGGCCACGGTGGTATCGGGGGGCCGGGGCCCTCAGTCAGAGAGCATCGTCTGCGTGCATTTCCTGATCAGGTGAGCTGAGGGGCATTAGGGGCGTTGGGGGATATGTGAACGTGAGTCTGGGTGTGTAATCGTGCCTGTGGACGTGGAACTTGTGTGGCCTTGTGAATGAACGCGAGTGGCCCCTGAAATCTCATTTAGTTAATTAAATTTAAATGAAAGAGGACTCTAGGCTAGGATCGCAGCTCAGTGGTAGAGCCAGCCTTGAGCCCCATCCCCAGCATGACAAGATAAACTGATTTTTTTTTTTTTTTTCTGGTTGTGGGGCTTGAACTCTGGGCCTGGGCGCCATCTCTCAACTCTCCAGTTCAAGGCGATCGCTCTACCACTTGAGCCACAGCACCACTTCTGGTTTTCTGGTGGTTCATTGGAAATAAGAGTCTTACAGACTTTCCTGCCCGGGCTGGCTTTGAATTGTGATCCTCAGATCTCAGTCTCCTGAGTAGCTAGGATTACAGGTGTGAGCTACTGACACCCAGCATATAAACTAATTTGTGTGTGTGTGCCAGTCCCAGACTTGAATTCAGGGCCTGAAGGTTATCCCTGAGTATCCCTATCCCTGTTTTGCTCAAGACTGGCACTCTACCACTTGAGCCATAGCACCACTTCTGGCTTTTTGGCAGTTCACTGGAGACATGAATTTCACAGGCTTTCTTTGCCTGAGCTGCCTTTGCACCAGCATCTTCAGACCTCAGTCTCCTGAGCAGCTGAGATTACGGACGTGAGGCACAGCACCCAGCTCAGGAGTTCCTTTTTTTACTGTTGAGTCGTGTTTTGCAGTGTGTGGGCCTGGGTTAATGTATTCTCTCCCCAGCTGTTTCCTGTTGGGGCAATCACAGAAACAGTGTGAACATTTTCCTACCGGGTTTTGAGGGAGTGCTCCTTTTCACGTTCATTCCTCTGCGGTGAACATCTGGGGGCGGGCTGGGCAGGCTGGGGTAAGTGTATATGTTTAGCTTTTTTAGACTCTGCCATGTTGTTTTCTAAATTGGCCTCCTGGCTTTGTAGCAGCCTTGGGTGAGAGCCTTGAGGGTTCACGCCCTTCCTGCCATTTTTTTTTTTTTTGGCAGTACTGGGGTTTACACTAAAGGCCTCCATAGTACTCAGACCGACGTTCTACCACTTGAGTCACACCCCCCAGCCTGGCTTTTGGCTGGTTATTTTGGAGATGGATTCTGGCAAAGTTTTCTGCTTGGGTTGGTCTTTAACTACCGTTAAACTGCAATCTCAGCCTCCTGAGTAGCTAGGATTAAAGGCATGAGCCACCAGTGCCTGGCTTACAACCCGGCTAATACTGTTTTTGGTCCCTAGGACCACCACACACACACACACACACACACACACTCTCTCTCTCTCTCTCTCTCTCTCTCACACACACACACACACACACACACACACACGGTGGCAGTTTGTCGCTTAAAATGATTTATGCTAATGATATGCAAATGAGATTTTGATCCTTAGTTTCCAGACCCACTCTCCAAAAGCCAGTTTATGAGCCCAGCATAGTGGTGCACACCTGTAATCCCAGCAACACTCAAAGCAGAGGTTGGAGGACTGCAATTTATGGCCTACCCCTGATAAAGTTCACAAGACCCATATTTAAACACCAAAACAGACGGCTGGGGGCGTGGCCTGGTGGTCGAGTGCATTTTTAGCGATGCCTTCCATCCCCAGTACCACAGAAGCCAATTTGCCAGGCACGCATTTGGGGTGTCTCTGTAGCTACAGACTGTGGGACCAGAGGTGTGGAGCGGCAAGTATGTATTTATATACTCGTTCCCTGGAGGAGGGAAACCTCTATGAATAGAAACTTCCTAAATAAAAATATCACCCTATGAATTCTTCATATTTGGGAATGTAAGGAAGATTCTGTTAAAAATATACTTCCTGCCTGGTGCAGCGATGCATGTGTGTAATCCCGGCAATTCAGGAGGAGGAGGAGGATGGTGAGCCTGAGGTTAGCAGGGACTAGGGCTTGAACTCAGGGCCATGAGCTCTCCCTGCATTTTCCCTCAAGGCTGGCGCTCTACCACTTAAGCCACAACCTCCACCTCCTGTTTTTATTCCATGTGTGGTTTGTTTGTTTGTTTGTGCCTTGTATCCTAGCCGGGTAGAGGAGACAGGGGTGGTCCTGTCCCTGGAGCAGACAGAGCGACATTCCCGGAAACCTTGCCACCCAGGGGCCTCCTCTCAGAAGGATACCCCTAATCCTGGGGACAAGACAGGTATGCAGCAAGAATGTTGTGTCTCCGGACCCTTGAACAAAAGTTCAACACCTAGCCCTGTGGGACCTCCCTCCTGCTCAGTGTCACCCCTCAAACCACAACAGCATCCTCAGAGCTCTGGGAACAAGCCAGTCTCTTTCTGGCCCCAGGGCCTTTGCACATACACCCCCACCCCCGCTACCCAGAATGCTCTTCTCTCATGCTTCCTCCTCCTCTTTCTCCTGAACCACTTCCTGCTGTACCTCACAAGGGCCACCCTCCTTGTGCCCCATCCTGATGGGCTGTTTTGTTCCCTGGCTTGCTCCCTAGATGACCACCTGTGTCCTCTTCCTCCTGCAGACACCCCTGGTCCCCGGATCCTGGCCTTTCTGCACCCTCCGGCCCTGAGCGAGGCCACCCTGGCCGCTGACCCCCGCCGATTCTGTAGCCCGGACCTCCGGCGTCTCCTAGCACCCATCCTGGATGGGCCTCCTGGAGTAGCCACACCCAGCACGCCACAGGCTATGCCCCGTCCCCAGAGCCCTGTCCCTGTAAGCAGCCCCACCCCCCTCCAGCCTCAGTGTACCCCTCTGTGGAGTGAGGAGGTTGGGGTAAGACATCCATTCCAAACCCAGATACCGGTGGCTCACACCTGTCATCCCTGCGATTCAGGAGGCTGAGATCTAGAGATTGTGGTTCAAAGCCAGCCTGGGCAAGAAAGCTCATGAGACTCTTATTTCCAATGAACCAGCAAAAAGCCGGAAGTGGTTCAAGTGGTATAGTGCCCGCCTGGAGCGAAAAAGCCAAGTGAGATTACTAAAAGCCTAGGTGGTAGATTTTCCAATGGTTAGGATTCCAGAGTCTGGCTGCAGATCAGGATTGAGAAGATCCTGAAGATCCATCAGGCAGGAGGGACAAGCCCTCCCTGGGAGCAAGCATCTGGATTCTCTGAACTTCAGCCTCAGAGTCAGGAGTGCATGCTATCTTGATTTATACAGCCCTGGGTTCAAATCCTGACTGGAATCCTTACCAGTTGTGTCATGTGAGTAAGAGAATTCTTAAGGACTCCATTTCCTCACCTGTAACATGAGGAGAATCAGCTGGGTGAGGTGGTGCATGCCTGTAATCTCAGCACCTGGCAGGCTGAGGCAGGAGGCTCTTTGATTCAACGCTAGCCAGGGCTGCATCGAGACAATACCTCAAAAAAACAAAACTGTGGTCCCCCAGATTTCAGAGCCTAAGACCCATGACCCCTAAACCTCTTGGGTTCAGGCTTTGTTCTCTTCAACCTTTTCCATCTTCCCTCCTGAGCTTTTTTTGTCTTGTGGGGCTTGAACTCTGAGCCTGGGTGCTGTCCCTACGCTCTTCAGCTCAAGGCCAGAGCTCTACCACTTGAGCCACAGTGCCACTTCCGGTTTTCTAGTGGTTTATTGGAGCTAAGAGTCTCATGGACTTTCCTGCCCGGGCTGACTTTGAACCATGATCCTCAGATCAGCCTCCTGAGTAGCTAGGATGACAGGTCTGAACCACCGGCACCCAGCTTTGTGAGACTCATCTCCAATGAGCCACCAGGAAACTGGAAGTGATGTTGGGGCACAAGTGGTAGAGAGCTGACCTTGAACTGATGAGCTGAGGGACAGTGCCCAGGCCCAGAGTTCAAGCTCTACAACTGACACTTTTCTGCTGGAGCTAGCTTCAGACTTCTGTCCTCAGATCTCAGCCTGCTGATTAGCTGGGATTACAGGCACAAGCCACCATGCCAGGCTCCTGCTGAGCTTTCTGTACTCAGGCACTCTGACATTGAAACCCTCAGGATGGGAACTCATTTGTAGCAGCTCTGGGACCTGACCCGTCCTGTCTCCCAGCTTCTGACTTTTGACACCCACTTCTAGCCTGAGCTCTAGATTATTTTACATTTGACTACCTCCCCAGGGTCAAAAGCCCCTCTGTTTCTGTCCCCTTTCCTGCAGGCTGATCTCCCGGACCGGCTTCTTGTGGGCTTGGAGAGAGCACACAGGCTCTTCACTGCCGGGAGGGGTGGAAGGACAGCTGAGACGGAGCTCAGCACAACACAAGTAAGGGCTGGCATGGAGGGCCCATCTGCTTCAGCTTAAGAGAAGGCTGGGGGATGGCCGGGTGGTTGGATGGATGGACCATTGCATTCATTAGGTGGATAATGGTAGATGACAGATGATGTTTAGGCAAGTACCCGAGTGGTAGATGGATGAATGGATTGGCCAATAGATAATGGGATGGTGGATGGATGGCCAATCATGGATGGATGAATGGATGGTGGATGCCTGGATGAATGGATGGCCGATAGATGGATAGACAGATCAATGGATGGCCAATGGATGGATGGTTGGGCAGATGAATGGATTGGTGGAAGCATGGATGGATCAATGGACTGCTGGTTGGAAAGATGGATATATGAATTGATAGATGAGTGGATGGATAGATAAATTATGTATGTATGGATGGGTAAATGGACAGATGGATGAATGCATGATACATGGATGAATGGATGGATGGGTAGACAGACATATAAATGGATGGATAGACAGAAGGACAGATAGATGTTGGAGGAATAATTGGATAGATGCATACTTGGTTGAGTGGCTGGATAAAACTAAAATTCTGCTGGGTACTGGTGGCTCACGCCTGTAATCCCAGCTACTCAGGAGGCTGAGATCTGAGAATCATGATTCAAAGCCAGTCCAGGCAGGAAAGTTGAGACTCTATCTCCAATTAACCAGAAATGGTGCTGTGGCTCAAGTGATAGAGTGCTAGCCTTGAGCTGAAGAGCTGAGGGACAGCGCCCAGGCTCAGAGTTCAAGTCCCATGACTGACCAGAAATAAAAAAAATTCCCAGAAGTCATCACCTTTAAATATTGCATCCACCGTGCCCTCTGGTGTCCAAGGTGCCCCACCCAGCTTGTTTCCTTAGGGTCTCGAGAGGCGGGATCAGCTCTCAGCCCAGGCTGGGGTCTCCTGGGGTTGGGGCTTGCTTCCATGTTCATGCACCTGCTCTGTTTGGACCTCAGGCCTCAGTGGATTTGTCTAGAAGCCTTGTTGCCTCACTTCGTGGGGCTCTCCAGAGGCTACGTGTCCTGGCTCAATCCTGACTCCCCATGCCCATCCTCCACAGGATGCTGATGCTCTGGATTTGGAGATGCTGGCCCCCTACATCTCTATGGATGATGATTTCCAGCTCACCTCCACAGAGCAGACTCCCAGGATCTACCACCGACCCAAAGCCGCAGTCCGCCGGCCCCGTGCTCGGAGCTTCCACGGCTTGTCACCCCCAACCCCAGAGCCCTCCCTGCTGCCCCGCTGGGGGAGTGACCCCAGGCTCAACTGCTCCAGCCCTTCCAGAGGGGACCCCTCTGCATCCTCCCTAGTGGCTGGGGCTCGGAAGAGGTAAGAGGGACTTAGTGAGTGTGGAGAGGAGGCTGCTACCTGCCCGTGTGGCCCCTGCCTCATTCCCAACCATGGATGGACAGATAGATAGATATAGATAGGTGGGGAGATGGATGGATGGATGAACAGATAGATGGATAGATAGGTGGATGGATGGATAGATATCTAGGTAGGGAGATGGATGGATGAACAGATAGATGGATAGATAGGTGGATGGATGGATAGATAGGTAGATGGATGGATGGATGGATGAACAGATGGATAGATAGGTGGATGGATGGATAGATATCTAGGTAGGGAGATGGATGGATGAACAGATAGATGGATAGATAGGTGGATGGATGGATAGATAGGTAGATGGATGGATGGATGGATGAACAGATAGGTGGATGGATGGATGGATGGATAGGTGGATGGATGAGTGGGTGGATGGATGGAAGGACAGATGGATAGATAAATGGATGGATGGATGGATATATGGATAGGTAGGTGGATGGATGCATGCATGCATAGACGGATAGGTGGATGGATGGATGAGTGGATGGGTGGTGGATGGACAGATTAGGTGGATGAATGGATGGGTAGACTGGTGGATAGACAGGGCCTGTGGCAGGTAGATGGGAAGATTAGTTGGAGGTGCTGGTAGCTTGGTGGACATGAGGCAGGAGTATAAACCAGTGCCTGCTCACCCACTCAGGTTTAATGTGTTCTCATTCTTGTCTCTTCTTCTCCAGGGCCCTGGCCCAGAGCTCAGAGGATGAGGGGGTCGAGCTACTGGGAGTGAGACCCCCCAAACGGCCCCCAAGCCCAGGCCCTGGAAACTTCCTCCTGCCTCCGCTCAGCCTGGTATGTGTGGAGCTTGGGGGGAGGACATTCTCTGACCCTCAGAATGTCGTAGCAGGCTTCAACCTTCTGTTTTATAGATGAGGAAACCGGAGAGGGCCAAGGGCTGGCTGAAGGTCAGCTGACCTTCCAGTGCCCTTCATGGGCTTGGAAAGGCTTTGCGAATGGAGGATGTGTGCTGACAGACACAAAAGCATCAAGCCAGGTCAAAGGGGCCACGTGGGGTTATGTCACAGGGGTCTCCTCCACTCCCTGGGGGACCCACAGAGGAATGCTATGGCTTCTCAGCCTGCAAAGGATATGGTTGATAATGTCTACACCTCATATTTATTAAGTGCCTACTGTGCGCCTTATTGCTGACACAGTAAGTGCCTCACATGGTTAACTTATTTCCTGGTTTTTTGTTGTTTTTTTGTCGGTCGTGGGGCTTGAACTCTGGGCCTGGGCACTGTCCCTGTGCTCTTTAGCTCAAGGCGAGTGCTCCACCGCTTGAGCTACAGCGCCACTTCTGGTTTTCTGGTGGTTTATTGGAGATAAGAGTCTCATAGACTTTCCTGCCCGGGCTGGCTTTGAACTGTGATCCTCAGATCTCAGCCTCCTGAGTAGCTAGGATTACAGGTGTGAGCCACCAGTACCTGGCTTCCTGTTTGTTTTTGCCAAGACACAGTTTCTCACTCTAGCCCGGGCTGACCTTGAACTCACCATGCTTCTGCCTTAGTGCTAAAATTTCAGGCACATGCCTGGAATCCTGTAATGATTGTTGTGAGCATTCTCTCTCTTTTTTTTTTTTTTGGTTGGTTGTGGGGTTTGAACTCTGGGCCTGGGCACTGTCCCTCAGCTCTTTAACTTAAGGCAAGCGCTCTACCACTTGAGCCATGGTGCCACTTCTGGTTTTCTGGTGGCTAATTGGAGATAAGAGTCACAGAGTTGGGGCTGGGAAGGTGGCTCAGTGGTAGAGTGCTTGCCTTGCATGCATAAGGCCCTGGGTTCAATTCCTTAGTACCACATAAGCAAAAAAGAAAAAAGCTGGAAGTGGCGCTGTGGCTCAAGTGGTAGAGAGCTAGCTTTGAGCTGAAGAGCTGAGGGACAGCACCCAGGCCCAGAGTTCAGGCCCCATGACGGGACCCAAAAACAAAACAAAACAAAAAAAAAAGAGTCACAGAGTTTCCTGCCCAGGCTGGCTTTGAACCATGATCCTCAGATCTCAGCCTCCTGAGTAACTAGGATAATAGGTGTGAGCCACCGGCGCCCAGTTGAGCATTCTTGAAATGCTGTAAATATGACCCTAGACCCGCACGAGAAGGTGCACGTTATCAGTCAGACTAGGCAGATGCCTAGCTGACAACACGGCTGCAGACCGAGGGATGAGTGAGTGTGAGGAAGTCCATAGGAAGTGTGGGGCTGCCCCCAGGGGCACCAGTGCCACCTGTCCCCCCGCCCCCAACCCAGAGAGAGCAAGGGTGTCCTGATTAGGGTTGAACCCAGGACCCTAGCAAGGGCAGAGTACCTGCTGGGCCCAGAGGGAGGAAGAGAAAGAAGGATCTGGAGGAAGAGGAGGGGGGAGGAGGGAAGAGGAGGAGGAGGAAGAAGAGGAGGAGCTGGACTATGACCTGTCCATGTCAAAACGCATGGCCACTGGTCTTTACCAGTGCCTGGACCTGCCACTGCTCATCATTCTTTCTTGGATGGTGATGGTGGTGAGATGATAGTGGTGATCATGATGATGGTGAGAATGTGATGATGGTGCTGATGGTGACATTGTGATGATGATGGTGATCATGATGGTGGTGATGGTGAGATGGTGATGGTGATAATGGTGATGTGATGAGGATGGTGGTAGTGATCATGATGATGGTGATGGTGGTGACAGTGATTATGGTGGTGATCATGATGATGATGAGGATGATGATGGTGGTGGTGATGGTGGTGATGGTGGTGAAGGTAACAATGATGGCAGCTTGGCCTTTCTCCCCTAGAGTTTCCTTCTAACAGGAGCACCAGCCCCCCGAAGCCGGCAGGATGTCAGCAGCCTGCTCCTGAATGTGCCTGAGCCCGTGGGTGAGTTCCCCATGGGTATACCATAGCTCTGGTGTCCTCTCCCCACGCAGCTGAGGGGGGGGTGGAGCCCTCCCAGCAGGGGCATCCGCTGTCTGTGGGTACGCTGGGTGATCTTGGTGGGGACACATGCTGCCTCCTTCTCTGCGGAGGGCCAGGTTTGTCTGTGCCAGTACTAGGGTTTGAACTCTCGGCCTGGATGCTGTCCCTTAGCTTTCTCACTCAAAAGACTCTACCATGTGAGCCTCAGATCTACTTCTGGCTTTATGTTGGTTCCTTGGAGATAAGAGTCTCATAGAAGTTGGGCATTGGTGGCTCACGCCTGTAATCCCAGCTACTCAGGAAGCTGAGATCTGAGGATCATGGTTCCAGTCAGGAAAGTCCATGAGGCTCTTCTCTCCAATAAACCAGTAGAAAACTGGAAGTGGTGCTGTGGCTCAAACGGTACAGCGCTCACCTTGAGCTGAAGAGCTGAGGGACAGCACTAAGGCCCAGAGTTCAAGCCCCACGACCGACAAAAGCATCTCGTGGACATTTCTGCTTGGGTTGGCTTTGAACTGAGGTCCTCAGATTTCAGCTTCCTGAGAAACTAGATGACAGATGCACACCTGAACACCTGGTGTAGTGATTGAGATATATAGGGTGTTTGGAATTTTCTTTTGGCTAGGGCTGTTATTGAAGCACAATCCTCCTAGAACCCTGCCTCCTAAATAACTGGGATTATAGGCGTGAGCCACTGTGCTGGGTCTATACTTGATTATGAGTTCTCTGTGGGCAGATGGCACTCATTCTCTCTGTCTCCCTTCTGTCTCCCCTACAGGCCTGGGTCCCTCACTGCTCTCTCTGTATCCTGAGGAGGAGGCCACTGCCCAGCGTAGGAGCCACTTGGCGTCACCACCACCCATAGCAGCTGTGGGCTTGGCTCAGGCCCGCTGAGCCAAGCCCTCCTCCCAGCTCCTCCTCCTGCCTTACACAGGACCTCAGCCACACTCCACACCGACAGCACCTCTGCACAGGAAGGGGGAACCTCTCTCTGCGGAGTGTTCCCCCACAGCCTTGGGCCTACCTCAGCCTCCCCCCTCCCCCCCCTCTGCCTGCACCTGGCCTGGGGCTCCCTGGGTTGGTGTCAGCCCAGTGACCTCTGGGAGGGGGGGTCTCTGGCCCCCTCTCCTTCTCTCAGGACTTCTTTCGGGGTTCTCCAGGCTTGGTGACCTCACTTCTTTCTCTCTGACTCTCTCAACCTTATTTTGGGGGGCTAGGTGCATGGGGGAGAGAAGTGGGGCTCAGGACTGTGTTCCTGAGCTCTAGGGAGCATGGACAGCCATGGTCAGATTGCTTTCTGCCCCTCTCCTCTCCCCCCACAATTATTCTTTATATCTTGTCTCATGATATGTTTTTCTGATTTGTTTTTGGTTTTTGCTGGTCATAGGGCCTGAACTCTGGGCCTGGGCACTGTCCCTCAACTCTTCAGCTCAAGGCAAGTGCTCTACTGCTTGAGCCACAGCGCCACTTCTAGTTTTCTGGTGGTTTATTGGAGATTAGAGTCTCATGGACTTTCCTGCCCGGGATGGCTTTGAACCGTGATCCTCAGATCTCAGCTTCCTGAGTAGCTAGGATTACAGGTGTGAGCCACTGGCGCCTGGCTCACAATATATTTTTTAATCACTATGGAGGTCATGAAAATGTGGGACTGAGGGAGCGGGGGGGGGGGGAGGGGTTAGCCTTCCAGGCTGCCACCCAGCCCTGGTGGTACAGTGACAGCAACGATCTGTGATCGTCCTCTTGTAGAGGGAGCCTGAAGCTTCCTCCACTTCCATGACCTCTGACTTCTCCCGGTTCTAGACTGTGTGACGTCTGGCCTTTCCTGGTTCTAGACTGTGCGGCCCTTTGTCTTCCATGGTTCTAGGCCACACCGCCTCTGTCCTTCCCTGGTTCTAAACTGTGTGACCTCTGACCTTTCCTGTTACCTCTAGTCTTCCCCAGTTCTAGCCCATGCAACTTTCTGCATCTCCAGGTTCTAGATTTTGACAGCTCCCCAGCTTTCCTGGTTCTAGATTGCCTGGGTCCTGACCTGCTGCCATTCTGGATTCTGTGCCCTGACACTACTCTACCACCTCCGGCCTTTCCTGGTTCTAGACTGTCCCATCGCCAGCATGGCATGCTGGAGCTCACGTCTTCCAGCACCTCTGATTGCACACGTCATCATCCTGAGGTTCTTTCTCAGCCTGAGAAACCTCACGGTTTGGCCTGTTTTTAAACTTCACAATCCCTCAACACTTTGGTTTGGGGTCACACTTATACCTTCTGGCTTCAGGGCCCAAAGCCACCAAATTCCTCTGGTTCTAGGATTCCCTCAGTTAGAGCGCTTTCCTCCCCCCCCCCAACCCTGATCACATCTTTTCCTCCAGATCTAGGCCTCACAGCTTCCCACTGCCTCTGCATATGTAAATTGCTGAGGTGCTAGAACCCCCATCTCCAAATGCTTCCGATTCTAGAATCTACCCACTCCCCTTGTAGATTCCCTGATATGAAATCTTTTTTTTTTTTTCTTTTCTTTTTTGTCAGTTATGGGGCTTGAACTCTGGGCCTCGGCGCTGTCCCTCAGCTCTTCAGCTCAAGGCCAGCGCTCTACCCCTTGAGCTACAGCGCCACTTCCGGTTTTCTGAGTGTTTGTTGGAGATAAGAGTTTCACGGACTTTCTTGCCCAGGCTGGCTTTGAACCTTGATCCTCAGATCTCAGCCTCCAGAGTAGCTAGGATTACAGGTGTGAGCCACCCGTGCCGGCTCTGATATGAAATCTTAACAACCCCTCCCTAATTCCTTTCTGACCTCCATTCCGAGTTTCCCCAGCCTCACCCAACTTGCCTCCTTCTTACTCTCAGTTCAGGACTGGCCACCCCTCATCTTCATCTCCAGCCCACCTGCTCATGAACTTCAAGCTCCTCTAGGCTTCCAGTCCTAAGAGGAACCCCTTTTCCTCCCCACCCCAAGCTTCCAGACATGCACTTACTCACCTGGACTTTGCCCCCATGTGTCTGGGGTCCTGGGGTTCCCTATCCCCAAGGGGGTGGTTCACAATCCAGGCAATGCCTCCAGCCGCATAGGCACACGCACAGCCCAAACTGCCTGTCTCAGGAGAGGAGTTCACAGTTCTCTGCCACCAGCTTTGTCCCCTTTGTTCCCCGCTCAGCTCATCTATGATGGTGCTACTCTTGGACTCCCATAAGAAAAAGAAAAAAAAAAAAGCTCCTCAGCCCCATCCACCCCCTCCTTGGAAGCCACCACTCCATCTTTGGGTATTCTGTCCAGATTGGTGCTAAGGGAGGTGCGCTCGCCTAGGGGAGGGGGAGGCCTGGCTCAGCCATGCTGGCTTTTCCCAAATACCATAAAGACCTCGCCTGGATGGGCACCAGAGAATGTGTTGACTCATTTGTGGGGTCCCTTTGGGGGTGGGTAGTATAGTGGGTGATTGGTCTCCATATGACACATCTACTTTTTTTTGTTGTTTTTTTTTTTGGTCGGGCCTGGGGCTTGAACTCAGGGCCCGGGCGCTGCCCTTGAGCTCTTTTGCTCAAGGGTAGTGCCCTACCACTTTGAGCCACAACCCCACTTCCGGTTTTCTGGTTGTTCATTGGAGATGAACTCATGGACTTTCCTGCCCGGGCTGGCTTTGAACCGTTGTCTTAAGATCTCAGCCTCCTGACTAGTTAGGATTATGGGGGTGAGCCATAGGTGCCTGGCTTAATGCTATAGTTCTGCCCGAGTGGGAACCCGGGGTTTGGCCCCAGCCTGTAATCTCAGCACTGCAGAGGCTGAGGCTGGAAGATCTTGATTGGGCTATATATAACAAGAACACTATCTCAAATAAATAGAGTGGGGGGAGGCAGGGAAGGGAGCAGAGCAGGAAACAAGGGTGCTGGGGGGCCCCCTGGCCGCACGGGGGTGCGGGCCCGTCCCCCAGCTCGATCCTCGGTCTAGGGTCTAGCTGCAGAAGCGGTGGCCCAGACGCAGACTGTGGGGACCCGCGGCAGGGCCGGTTTGCGGGTGCAGGGGGGCGGGGAGCGTGGGGACAGGAAGGAGAAGGCCGGAGTGGCCGGGCACCGCTCGGGCCCCGGGGGAGACCCCGGGTCGTGGGGACACGGGGAGCACCGTTTTTTCCAGAGAGGTCACCGGGGCGCGGGGAAGAGGGGTGGCCCGAGGTCTCGGGGAGTCGGCAGTCTGATCCCCCCCCCCCGCTGTCTGGCACAACGACCCCGAGGATGGGGCGGGGGGTGGTCCTTAAAACCCAAGAAACTTCTGTGGGCTCAGGACACGGTAACTTGGGGAGCAGGTCCACACCAACCCCCCCTCCCCCGCCTCTCCCGGTGCCCCCTCTCCCTCGCTCTCTCCTCTGATTGGCTCGTCCCGCGAGGGGCGCTGCCTCGGCCCCCTCTGGTCACCTTGTCCTGGCGCGCGCTCGCGGCCCCCCCCCCCCCCCAGGAGCCCTCGCGCATGCGCGCCGAAGGCGCCTTCGGGGCCCGCGCTTTACGACACTTGCGCGACAGCGGCGGCGGTCACTCAGCGCTCCTTCGCGACGGTTCGGCCGGGTGCCGCTGGCGGCCGTTGCCAGGGTGGGGGTCGCTTTGCGGCATGGCGATGGCGGAGGGCGAACGGACTGAGTGTGCTGAGCCCCCCCGGGACGAACCCCCTGCCGAAGGCGCCTTGAAGCGGGCCGAGGAGCTCAAGACCCAGGCCAACGACTACTTTAAAGGTACGTCCGGCCCGGACAGGGCGAGGGAGGGCGGACAGCAGCCCAGGCCCGCGCGGAACCATGGCAACGCCGAGCGGCAGCTGGGGCGCCGGGCGGCCTCTACCAAGTGACCGGGCCCGGGGGGGGGGCGCGGGGTGACGCTACCACCGGGCGACATGAGGGGGGGCCGTCTGAGTGGAGGGGTCGTGCGTTCACAAGGGGGGCTACTAAATGGGGAAACTGAGGCGGGCGCCACCAAGTCAGGAGTGGAGCGGGCCCCTAAGAGGGCGCCACCCAGTAGTGACATGTGGCTACCTGGGAGGGGAGACCTGGGCTGGGGAGGTTTGGGGGGGTCCTGCCCCCGTTGGGGGGCAGCCCAAGCAGAAGAGGGAATTGTGGGGAATAAATCATGAGACTGGGAGGGGGGGAAGGAAGTAGATTTGGGGTGATTGGAGAATAGGATCTGTAGGGAGTCCCTGAGGCGTGGGAACACGTGAGGTCACGGATTCGTTCATTCATTCATTGCATACATGTTTCTTGAGCCTCTGGTGGAGCCGGCGCACCGGGCTTGGCTCTGAGACTCTAGCAGGAAGGAGACATTGTGGTCTGTCAAGTAGCAAGGGAATCACGTGGAGTAAGCCCACAAATAAAATGCTTAAGTTATGCCCAGGCTTTGAAAGAAAGAAAGAAAAAAAAAAAAGCACAAGATGGTAAGAAAAATCGAGGTAGAAAGCTGCCTTAGACATAGGATGGTGGATGGTCTGGGAGTACTCTAAGGAAAAAGAGACATTTAAGCTGAAACTACCAGAGGACAAGGGGAAGAACTGATCCTAGTGGGTAGATTAGCATGTGCAAAGGCCCTGGGGTGGAGAATGTGTGTGGGAATGGTGTGACTGGGGCTTTAAAAAGAGTTAGGTGGGGATGGATAAAAGCTTTTGGAGGACCCAGATCTGGGCTGCTTCTTTCTGGGGTCTCATAAATCTTTGCCAAGACTAGTTTGGATTTTATTCAGCTGGTCCAGGAAATAGGTAGACAGGAAATAGGTAGATGGGCTAGTCTGGACTGGAGAAAACTTTGAGAGTGCCCAACCTGTGGTTGGAAATATGTTGGGAATGGATGAGGTCACTTAGAAATGGGGTGCAGAGAAGACCTAAAGTAGGGTGCTGAGGAGCAGTCAGCAAGGAAGGTGGATGGGAAACCGGGAAAGAGGTGTCAGGAAAGTGTGTGTAGATTCTAGAATTTAGGAAAGATGAGCTCCAAGCCTTGACCACTAGGTCTGGCTGGCAGATACTGGTGGGGATGTTGACCAGAGCAAATAGTCCACTTCTGCAAGCGTGGTTCAACACGGACACAGCGTCGAAGTAGACTCTGCAGGGGAGGAGAGATTTGCACTGGCAGAGCTCAGGAGAAGGGGAGGGCATGGTGGAAGGATCTAGGGCCCCACTGGAGCATGGGTCTCCAGAAATGCATGGCCTGAGGGGCAGTTTGGTTGGGTAGGAAGTTCAGTGGGGAGGGTGGGTGCCATCCTGAGGGTCCAAGTGTTGTTGGAAACACGCCCAGGTGGAGAAAGCTCAAGGCAGAAAGAAGCAGATGGCAAAGGCCCAAAGGTGAGCCGGTCTTGGTGCCTTCGTAGGGAGCAGATTGTAAGGGGTCATAGGGAGGCACCCCGACTTTCAGCTGAAGGTGCTGGGTAGTGGCCAGAGGACAGGCTCAGAATTGTCCTTAAAGCCAGGTGCCAGCAGTTCACACCTGTAATCCTGTCTAGTCAGGAGGCTGACATCTAAAGATCATGGTTTGAAGCCAGCCTGGGCTCCTGCTCAAGACTCTTATCTCCAATTAACCAGCCAAAAGCTGAAAGTGGCTTGAGCTGTGGCTCAAGTAGTAGAGCATTAAGCCTTGAGTAAAAAGTCCTTGACTTTAAGCACCAGGCCCAGCTGGGGGGCGGGGGGGGGGAGAGGGGGAGAAGAAAGAGAGAGAATGAGAGAGAAACCTTTTCTGGGGCTCAACAAGGGCAGCAAGTCTTGGGGGGTTGCTGCTGATGCCAGGGAGAGTTGGGGAGCAGCCTCAATTCACCAGGACCTGGGGTTCCAGCCTGGAGCCCCAGGGGCCTGTCCTTGGTGGAAGGCACCCCTCAGGCCAGGCCTCCTCCTGTCAGGCAGGCTGTGGCAGGAGCTCAGGGGCTGAGGGAATAACAATAAAAAGAATAATTACAGCTCGTGTTAATTGAGACTCAGTGGTGCAAGGTGCGGCCTGGGCGCCCGCCCCAGACTGGGAAGTAGAAGTGGGTTGAAGCCCTGTTTGTTTTATGGAGGAAGTGGCTCGGAAGCGGAACTGCTGGCCCCCAGGTCGTGTGTGTGTGTGTGTGTGTGTGTGTGTGTGTGTGTGTGCAAGCGCGTGTGGGCTGGCCCCCAGGTCGTGTGTGTGTGTGTGTGTGTGTGTGTGTGTGTGCAAGCGCGTGTGGGCTGGGCCGGATTTCCTCTGCTCACCTATCACCCTGGCTCCTGTGGGTGAGGAAGGTCCTGGGGGAGGGGGAGCTGGTCTGACACCCCAGTCCCCCAGGTGGTGAAGCATGCACCAAGGTAAAGAGCCAGAGTCCTCTGCAGCGCCCCCCCCCCCAGCCCCCAGCCTCACCTTGCTGCCTCTGTTTCCTCATCGCTGACTCCGGGGCTGCCTGGAAGGAGACTTGAGGCACAGCACACAGAGCAGGATACGGATGGGGGGCAGAGAATGGGGTACAGGCCCTTCCCCCTGCCCCCCTCCCTGCCTCCCCCTCTCCACTTGGTCACTCAGGGGCTGCAGCCTCTTTGCCTGTGCACATTCCCAGGCCCAGCTCACCGCCTCAGCCCCGGACCAGAGTGAAGTCAGAGGTGACAGCCAGCCACCAGCCCAGACCGTGCCCCTGGCTCCGAGTCACACCTTGCCTGGCAGGCACCCCGCCCGCCCCCAGGCTGAGGGAGTCCTCTGAAGGTGCCAGGCTGCTCCTTGTACCTTGCTTGGTTCTAGGAAGTGCTGCAGCCTGCCTTCCTGGGGCTCACAGACCCCGATTGGAGTCAAGCAGGCCTGCCCTAAGGAAGGGACAGTTCAGGCCACTGAAAGATTGCCACCTGCCTTCTCCTTTCTCTGGTTCCCGCCTCCCTCCCTCCCTCCTT